GCCCATTTTTATATTCAAATGATAAATTTTTTTAGTTCTCGAAAAAACCATATTAGGTACACGGAATTCTACCATAAAATTGAGGAAGGAAGGATAAGTAGTTTATTTGAATAAAATTAGAGGTGGGCAGTTTTGATTTTCTTTTTTTTGCTAATTTAGAATTGGTAGGGGTAAGCAAAATTCAGAGGGACATTGGAATAGGATGATGTAGAAATTCCTACATGGATAAAACCTTACCAGTGTACGACTGCTTCCCTCTCTTTGTATCAAAAATTAATATTATGGTAAGGATAAAAATGTATTACAACAAACACTTATTAAATAATAGATTTTATGTAATATAAAAGTACACATGCAAAGGGAACAAGATGGGATATCATTTGTTTAGAATCATCAAATAGTTTTGATTTTATTACCGTCTTAGGACTCAGAGGTAATCAATATAGAAAGGTTGTCATATTTAGAGGTTTTATTTTATTCAGAATTTAGATCAGACAGAGTGATTGCTTGGTTAATTTAAATTTATTGTATATTTAAAGATAATTAAAAGATGAAGAGTAATAAAAAAAAATTGAATAATATAATTATCTTTTAATTTAAAGACATATAATTTAAATCTAGATTGGCCAATAAAAAGGCTTTTAAGATTGTGAAAATAATTTTTAAACTGTTTATATTTACTGCATATTCCTTTTTTTCCTTAAACTAAAAGCTTTTAAATTCGTGTTTATGATGACAATTTATTTTAATTTTTAATATATTTTTATTACCCTGAGAAAAATGGGAGTTTAAAATATTTTTTTTTATCTCCTATATCTTCTTTTTAAAACGCCTAATTTATTAAAAATTAAGAAGCAAAATAAAATAATAAGCCATTACAATAATGATTTGGATTTTAAATTTAAATTTAAAAATAAATCTTTTTATATTGTCATTTTATTAGAATTAAATATCATAAGAGGTGTTTACGATCTAAAAATGAAACAAATTCCCAAAGTAAATAATTCAATGTCATTACATTATATACGCGGACGCTCAATATCATATGCTTAATTACCAGTAGGATTTGGGATAGATGCATTTTTTAACATCTCTAAATAATATCAAATTCAGCTCCAGGTAATGGTAACAAAGTTTATTTTTTTTATCTCTTCCCAATAATGCAACTATATTTTATAGATTTTACATTGTAAGATCTAATTATAATTCATTTTATTTTATAACAATATCATTCCGAAAGCAGGTCAAAGATTTTTATTTTATAACTCTTGTATATTAATATGATTTTTTGGCATTATGTTTTGTGTTGCGAAAAAAAAGGACGAGAAATGTTTTATATTATGTGCATAGTATATATAGTATAGTAGTATAAAAAATTATATATAGTACATTCTTAATTAAATATCGATAAAGATGTGAAAGGAATTTTAAAATGAAAAACAAATGTATATAAAAATAATAATATTTTTATAAACAAATATAAATCTTTGATAAACAAATATAAATCACTTTTATAAATTTCGTGGATCTTTTTTATAATATATTCTCATATGTTATAAGACCTGCAGTATGGGTCCTAAAATCAATTTTTGAAACACTAGTTAGGCTGGAAAATTTTTTGTTTATAAAATGCAAGTCACAGAATATTGTTTAAATTAAATGAGCGGAAATGAGAGTTCAAAAATGATTGTCGAAATATATATGGATATAAGATGATTGAAGCAAATAATTTTAACATGGTATATATGTTTTATAATATTATGTTAGGTACATAAATCTATCTCTTACCAAATATACAAACTTTAGTCGGCAGGAACTCCTAGACTCCCTTAAGCCCATAACAATATTGCCCCTTTACACCTCCCACCCCACTCCCTCCCAATTTTTTTTAACCCACCATTAAAAGAAAACTCAAAATTAAAATAATCCCCCTCCTCTTACACTACCTTTAATTTCATTCAAATGACGATAGCGTTTTCATAACTACCTACCCCAGTGGCATCAGGATATACCAAAAAGGGGGAGGGGATATAATTTTTACAAACCCCCATTTGCACTGCCTTGATCGGGTCCCCCATGAGAAATTGTGACTAGATCTTATTGATTTTCCGTCTATAAATGTTGAATGCTTTATATTATTTTAATCCATTTTTTAAAGGTAATATAAAGAAAAAATTTACTAGCAAAATAAGAAAAAATTGCTAAATTTGGCATCAAGCTAGAATGGAAAATATAGAATCTATCAATTTTGGGAACCACAAAAAAGAAACTATTATAAATAAAATGAAAACTATGATGTTGCGAAGTGCACCAAGTTTCTAAGAACACTGATTCTGAAACTTATATCAAACCATTAAGTATTGGGCTTTTTTTAGTACATTTTATTGCTTATTCTGTTTGTTAGATAGTTTAAAGGGAAAAAAATATTGGTAAATTAAGAAAAAAATTGTCAAAATTTCATGACAGAACAAAGAATATAAAAGTTCCAAATTATAAAAACGATGACGGCACACCTTAGGCATGTAGGCAGCCAAACATCTAGAAGCATTAACTCAGAAATTTATATTAATAATTATGCGTATTTAGTATATTTTAGTGCTTCAACCCATAACCTTATTCAGGATTTTGTGAGGGAAGGGAAAGCACCATTAGATTGGGGTTTCCTCCATTAATTTTTTTATTGATCTTTAGGTTCGTTTATTACTTAAGGCCTTTGGCTCTATTAGGTTTAGATAAAAAAAATTTTGGATCTTCACTTTTTAAAAAAAATAAAAATACCTCTTTTCTAAAAATTTGAATTATAGTCGTTATTTTTAAAAATTACTAACTTATACTAATTTTTCATTCAAATTCTTTCATAAAGCATTTTTTGCAGAGAGGGGGTTGGGCTTGGGGGTGTGTACGGGGAAAATGTTTATTAGCATAAAATATTATTTACGAAAAGAGGCAATTTTTAATGGGGGGAGGGGGCTTCATTAGTTTGGCGACTGCCTTAATTTGGAAGATAGTTATAAAAAGCACATTAATGGCAAAAATGGTCAGGATTGGTATCATACTAGAAATAAAATTATAAAAGCATTGAATACCTGGGTGAGCCAATATGTAATGCTTGATTAGTATAATTCACAAATCAGTTTTACCAGTCAATAAACAAATTGTATTGAATAGATAATGCCATTTTTTTTTCTTAATCTCAATATTTAAGATAAAAATTTATTGAAATATATCTTCTACTTTTAATTATGAACGAGTGAGAAATGTAGATTTTTTAGTGATGTGATTCAATATTTTATTTATAAGAGAAAAGTGAATATGTCGTGAATTTACTAAAAGAATCAAAATAGAGATTGCGGTGTCTATAAGGCTATTTATCACAGGAGAACGGGGTAAAAAGTGATTGACGCGATATCAATGTTAACGCAAATAACTTTTTAACCCTTGAGTATAAAAACCTTAAATTTGTTGTAAAGGTGTATTTTTATATCTAATTTATTACCCATGTTCATCTTATGAAAAACTTTCCTAGTTTGACCTATTTTGATAAAAAACCGGTATTTACCCCAAAATTATAAAAATCACCTTCTAGTTTGCCTTTAGCAAAATATATTAAGGCTCATAATTTAACAATTTGCATACATGTTACTTTCATAGCTATTTTATCGAAAATTTATAGTTTCAAATCAGGGAATAATAATTTGCATAGTATTTATTACCTTGGGGTAAAGTTATTATGGGTGAAACGATTAAATTGCACCATCTTATCAAAGCTGTAAAAAGATAATTTACAAATATTACACCATATAAAAGATATTGAGCAAAAGGAATATTAATAAATAGTTTGTGTTATTTGAAGTGAAGTTTTAGGAAATTTTTGATATCTTATACATTCTCGTTTATTAGTTTATATTTGAAAGGGGTGAATGGATGTATTGCCTTTAAAAAACCCTCTTTGGTTTGATTTTTAAAAGCTGCCCGATTAAGGTTTTAGTCAAAATAATATTATGTTAACTGGAGATTTTGTTCAGAGAAGGCAGAAATCTTAATCAAGTCGTTTTAAAAAAATAGACCCTAATATGGCTTTTTAATAACATTAAAGTAATGTCAAAATTCCAATATTTTTTAAAGAAATCAAATAAGTTATGTTCAATTTTATTTAGCCACATACCCTGTTTCTCACCCATTTTACCCTGGGTACGTTTTAAAATGGTAAAAATAGGATACTTCACATAATTATGTATTAATGATAGAGTGCTATACTTTTTTTCTTTTGTAGATGAGGGATTTGATTACATATAAATCTATAATTTGTTGTTCGAAAATTTTGTGTGAAAATACAAAATACTAACCTTTTGCTCCCCTTTCCCAGTGATAACATAAGTTTTAGATATTATTCTTTACTTTGTTTTGGCAATTATCATTTTGTTATTTGATATACCTCCTTAAAAAATTAGTTTGTTTCTTTAGACCTCATTTTTTGTGACCTCAATAACTAATACGAAATCCTTCTATTACAAATAGCACTCCAAAATAATTCGGCGAATCTTAGTCCCAAGCAAGCATGGGTGACTGTTACGGGTCTTCTATTAGAAGTTTTTATTATTTATAAGATAATGAAAGGGTTAATAAAAACATATAATAACAAAAATATATATCAAAATTAATATAATTGATAAAAGAAAATTCTTGAAATGTTGAAAGATCTGATCACCAGATTTAGTGAAACCAGATATACAAAAAAAAGAATAATAAATAATAATCATCATGATAATAAAATAAAATATATTTAATGAATGATCGTATAAATGACATCATTCATCATAATTTTACATTGCATAACCAAAATTAATACACCGATTATTCCACATTTAATGTTAATCATATAAAAATTTTAAATAGTGATTAGTTTTTTTTTCTTAACTTAACTTAATTTATAATTTACTTTAATAAAATCGTAAGAATAGTTATTTTTAGTTAAATATGAAATCTTAGTATATAAAAAGGTTTGGAGATGCCGGTAGACCAGACTCAGAAAAATTGGATTGATCATATAATAAATAGAAATAGAAAATATAATAACAATACAACCAGAACAAATTATGCCACTGCAGATACCGATATTCATTCTTCGGATTTATATGCACCCACGCCTTCCAATCCACAATTTGCATCTACCAATAGCAATTTAATAATAGCGACACCCTTGTTTGCAAATAAATCCGTTCCTAATTTAAATGTAAATAAAAAAAAAATTTAAAACGTAATACAAAGTTTTTCGAGCATTATTAAAGAATAGTCAACTTAATTAAATGTTGCATAATGTACGTGGTAATTTTGTTCAAATTTTATTTTTTAGCAATTCAGCGTATTAGAGATCATAAAATCTCTTTTTTAAATTTTAAGCGAATTTAATAGAGTAGCTATGCTATACTGATGAGACCCAACCAGTCTATAGTTACAAAATTGATATCATGTATGTATTTTAAATTTTCTATGTGCTATTTATAAAAAAGAAAAATTAAGTTGTAATTTATGAATAATTAAATTTACTTAAAATTAATAAAAATATAAAATAGTCAACTTATCCCTCATTCACACTTAGCAAATGCACTGTATTTTTGTGTATTTCGCGTTAACTGTGAATACAGGGTTATTTCGAATAAATGTAAAGTTAAGTAAAATAGGTTTTATATACACTCGCTATTTTGAACCAGGAATGAAAATTGTCTTATGAGTGAATGAAGTTTATTGTCCAAGTCGAGTTTATTGTAACAGAGCTAAACTATTATTTTATATTTTTAAGTCATTAATATAAAAAATTATTTTAACATTAACTTTCTTGTTTATATCTTTTTTAAAACTCATTTCTTTTATTGTATTGATAAATACCTTCTTTTTAGACTAAATTCCAGACTTAATTTTCTTTTGTTTTAATTCTAATGCTTTAAAATATAATTGTCCTAGCTTGAATACAGTTTGTAATTTTTAAGCACTAAAATTTTTAGATGTAAAAATAACAATAAGAAATTTGCTTACTTTTATTTTTATAAAATAAACTAGCATACCTCTATCTATTTGGTCATTTATTTTGGAAATTTACTAGAATTATTTTAAAATATTTGATCAAGTTTAGATAGCCTTAAATAGAATGGGAAACAAGATATAAGAATATAATAATATTTTGATATAATCAAACATTTTAGCAAGCATACCAAGAAACCCCTTTGGTGACTCATAGTTCGGCAATTCTTCTGGCTAAATTGGACAGGCGCATCGACGAAAATCTCTATCAAAAAATCTTGAGAAGAGCTAAGGGAGAGTTTGAAGACAAATGGAATAAGCATATACCTTCCCCCATAGGAAAACTAGAAGATTTTTATTTGAAGAGAACATTGGGCCAAGGTTCTTTCGGCCGGGTTGTACACGTAATATATAAAAGTACAGGTAAATCATACGCGATAAAAATGCTCAAAAAAAGTAGTATAGTTAAAAAGCAGCAGATTCAGCAAGTGAATATGGAAAAGAAAATTTTGTCTGCTATCGATTTTCCATTCCTAAATAAACTTATATATTCCTTCCAGGTTAATTATATGTTACATATTAATATTATATATTTATTTAAATCGATATTGTATCAAATATTTATATAGTATAAACTATTTTTTTTATATAGGATAGCTCAAATCTTTATTTAGTATTGCAACTAATATCCGGAGGGGAAATGTATTATCACCTCAGAAAAATAGGTAGATTCAGCGAAAGTTTATCCAAATTTTACGCTTGTCAAGTCGTACTTTCTCTCGAATATCTACACACTCTGGATCTCGCTTACCGAGATCTGAAACCAGAAAATATTTTATTAGATCATCGCGGTTATATCAAAATTGTAGATTTCGGATTCACCAAACGTGTGAAAAATAGGACTTTTACTTTCTGTGGAACACCGGATTACATGGCTCCAGAAGTCATATCTAACAAAAGCGGTTATGGTAAAGAAGTTGACTGGTGGGGTTTAGGAGTATTAATTTATGAAATGACAACTGGCACTGCACCATTTTCTCCTACAGGCCCAGGAATCGGTCCAGGTGGTGGGTTCATGATGTTAGGTACCAGTAGCGAAAATACAATGTCAAACATTTTGAAAGGTAACTACAAAATCCCTAAATATTTAGCTGGGTCCAAAGTGGCTGATATTATAAAAAATCTTCTTCAAGTGAATCCATTTTTAAGGTTGGGAGTCTTGGAATTTGATGCCAGGGATGTTGTACACCATCCATGGTTCGATAACATAAATTGGATGAACGTTTATCGCAAAACAATTTTGCCAGATTTCAGACCGTGTACTGGCCCATTAGATTTACGAAATTTCAAATACATCCCGAACGAAAAACCGATCGAGATTTCCGAAGTCATGGAATATCCTAAATTGTTTACAGATTTTTGAATGTACAATACATTTATCCTGACGTTAGGATTGCATATAATTGTCATGATAGAGAATAGTTTTTTTTGTGAATATTTAATGATATTTTACTTTAAAATAAATAAGTTTAGTCTGATTATAGAGTACTTATAGTGAGGATTGAATTTCTAAATGTTATTCGTTTATATTTATAGAGATTTTTTAACATTCAAAAAGATGCCGATAAATTATCTAAAAACGTATCTATACAATTAAGTTTTTACAATGTATTAATTTACCTAGTTATCAGCTTACAGTTTTCAAACTTTGGCCAGGATAGACTCGTAAAAATATCTTAAACAATTTGTCAGGCTCGACATGAATATTTTTTCCCGGTTAGGTCCTTTAGGTCTTCGAGTCGGGCTGTGCTGACTTCTAAAATAGGCATTAATTAAAGCTTGGAATTTAATTATATTAAGCAATAAATAAATAAAAAAATTAAAGGCCAAAAGTTAATCAAACTAATAATCATTTTTAGATACTATATCAAAGCATTTTAGCGAACTAATTTCCTAAACTGGATGCGGTAAGTATATTATTGGCATTAGAGGTTGGCCCCGAAAGCCCGAAAGCCTGGTAAAAAGATTTTTGGATGGGGCTTGACAACTTGTAGAATATAAATTTACGGGCCTGGATAGAATTTCACAATTTTGTTAAAATTTACAATCAGGCAAATTTATGACTTTCGTAGAGAAGTTATTACTGGCCATTCCGAATAAATCATAGAAATTTTTTTTATTGCCAGACCCTACAACGTAAAAATCTTTTCAAAAAACCTGCCGAGTAATTTACATTATCTCAAAATTGATATTGTAAAGAAAATTTGTTATTAATTTATCTTTTTCAGTTTTACAAAATGTTTCAATATATCCTTTTTATATTTATTATTAGCCAAGATATAGTAAACAAGATTTCATTTATAAAGGATATAATTTTTTTCCCCAAACTTTATTAAAGGGCTCTAGTCTTGATTATTATGGAGATATGGATAATTACATCATTTTAATTTTGCACTCTTTTGCTAAAATTCTTTTTTTCTAAATATTTTCAATTTTGGTAATAATTTCATAAAGGGGATAGGGAGTGTAAAGAGATCGCAGGTTTAATGCGGATTTCATCCTAATTATAAATACAACAAAGGAACGGATTGCTTCGCACTCTGGGGATATCACGGGGCCGACTACTGTATTTGGGGTTTTATATTAGTTGAAAAAATTAAAGCAAAAAATTTATTTCATCTAAATTAAAAGTTTCTACATTTTCCTTCTAATGAATTCGAATGAATCAAGCAATAAATATAATTTATCATAATTAATCATTCTTCTCTAGTAATGAATTCGGCGTAAAGATAAAAAAAACATCCCTATTTTGTTTTTAACCTCGCTATTTACACACAATATTCGTAGACCTTATATGGTATCCCGGAAACCTAAAACAATTATAGAGAAGCTTTTACAGAGAAAACAATGATAGAGAATGTCGTTTATAGAGAATTATTATATAGAGAATGTATATTACAGAGAAATTTTTATAGAGATAAGATAACAATTGTAGATAACATCATTTATAGAGAATGTCGTATATAGAGGATGATTTTACAGAGAATGATTTTATAAAGAACGATTTTACAGTGAATGATTTTATAGAGAATTATTTTATAGAGAATGTATTTTATAGTGAATGATTTTATAGAGAATGTATTTTATAGAGAATGTTTTTATAGAGAATGCATTTTATGAAGAATTTTATTTAAAGAATATGATTAATACTATGAAGTTTTTATAAGATAAATCTAGATAATATACTAAATAAGAGCTTAGCAATATTCATTTCGAAATATAAAATAAATTTTTATTCATAATAAATCCAAATAAACATAGTATAAATAATATACCAAGATTAAATTAAATATTTAAATATTGTGGGATAAAGCTCTTAAATAATCTAGCATGGATCTTGAATGAAAATCTTTAACAATTAGAAAAATCCTTTTGGATCTTTCGCTATATTCTTTCTTTTACAGTGGAGCCAATAGTCCTAAAGAATATTGTTCCAATTTGTAACAATTCCCAGTATCTTTGTCTTTGAGAGCTAAAAATGAAAAAGTTATAAAATTTATATTAAAATATAATTACTAACTCTTTATAAATTTCCAGATCGTTGGATGAAGGGAACTTAATGAGACGAAAAACTTCGATGCCAGCCTTCTACAGTGAAGAGGGGGATATTTTTCACCAGATGTTAAAACAAAATAAAAGGATACTATTATATTTTTATTTTAATCATACTTAAACATTAATCTATGTTAAAAAAATTTTAAACAACTTTTTTTAAAAAAAAAACTTTTTAAAAAAAACATATTTATTCACATATCATTTACGTAATTTAATATTTTTGTACATTTAATTTAATATTAATTAAATTTTAAATCTTATAATGTTTAATATAGACCACATTCTTTATAATACATCTCCTTTACTCTCAAGTACTTCTGTAAATTATTCTTTGCCAATCTCAGATGGGAATGATATGGAAAATTATCAATCACATTCTAACATTTCTGCAAATAATAATTCTTTAGCAACTATTAATGAAAATATAAATCATTCTCAAATATCATCCATTCCTAAACCCAAAAGAACATACAATTGTTGGAACAAAGATAAAATTGAAATGGTAATGAAAATATTAGCAATGCCAGAGGAAGAACAGATGAAGGTTAAGGACATTGCTAAATTTGTTAATATGTCGAAGGCATCAATACATAAAATAAAACGGGATACATTCCCAGAAATTATTGGTGAGCCCCTAAAGGAATTCTCGCTTAAACAAAGGGGGAGAAAAATTAAAGACACAGCAAATATTGAAAGGCAAATTATGGATTTGCTAATCGACAATAATACCTTCACGGTGAAGGATATAATTGAGAATTTGCTCTCTGGTTCTCCAAAAAATATTGTAACTATAAGGAAATATATTAAAAACATCCGATGGTCCAAAATAAGAGCTGGGAAAGAACCAGATCGCAGGAATACACCAGGAGCTATCAATATTCGACAGGTGTATTGCCGCAAATTGCTGAACATCTCCAGAGAAAGACTCTATTTTCTCGACGAAACAGGCATCAATTTTCATGTTGTACCTGTCTATGCTTGGGCACCACTCAACGTTAGACCATCAATAAAGGTGCCACCCTCAAAAGGGAAAAATGTAAGTGTACTTTGCACTATAGGAATTTGTGGAGTTATACATTATAAAATAATCGAAGGATCATATAATGGTATGTTATTCCGAAATTCATTAATGGATATTATTAGTATATTACCACCAGATGCCATATTAGTTATGGACAATGCGTCAATACATAAAAGTCATCTAATTGATGACTATAAAGAGAGAATTGAATATCTTCCCCCATACTCACCACAATTAAACCCAATTGAAAATTTTTTCGGGGTTTTCAAAAACAAGTACAGGTCATTAATTCCCAGACCAAGTACAAGGGAACATATAATAAATAATATTAATCAAATAATGAATCAATTTATTCCATATGATTTTACAAATTTCTATAATCATATGCAACATTATTTGGAGCTGGGCTATCGTGGACTACCTCTTGACTAAAGTAATCTAATTATATAATAAATTACGATTAACATTTTTTAATATTTATAGGTACTACTTAAGCAAGCAATTTATGACTATGAACTATCATTAAATATTTCATATTTTATTAATTAATATTCATGTATTAGTGTAATTACGAATATATTTCTTATTATATATAATTATATGTATTACATATACGAATTGAATAAAATATTAAATTAAAGTTATGTCTCAAATATGATAAAATAAAGTGAAAGAAAAAAACTATTTTCAGAAATAAAAGATTCTGACTAAGATCTTACAACTTAAATGAATAATTTATCATTATATTTAAAATTATTCTACATAAAATATCGTTAACTAAGTAAAAGAAAATATGTGATGACAAAACTTTTTATATTTTTTTATAAAAATTTTTTTTTATGTAAGTGTGACATTTAAAAAAGTTGTTTAATATTTTTTTAACATATTTTAATGTTTAAGTATGATTAAAATAAAAATATAATAGTATCATTTTATTTTGTTTTAACATCTGGTAAAAAATATCCCCCCTTTCACATATTGTCGACCTCCTCTCCATCGCTATCATTTTTCTAATCCACGCCTCTTCAAATTATTATATGAAGGGGGCCAGAATATCCCTATCTTGATAGAATTCAGAGGCACATAATCCTAGAATCCATGAATTACATCGTCAACTGGTACATATGCAAGTGACATAAAATTTGCTTGTGTTTTGTATGCATTGCAAATTAGCGGATTTTTTGAACAGTGCGCCATATGCATTGCTACATATTAAACAGGCACCCGCACATTGCAGTCAGTGGAAACAACTGTTTAAAAGCAGATAACGCTTCTAATTCAAAGTCTATCATCCATAAAAATATTTTGATATACCACATTGAGGTATTGTATGATTAAGGTTTATCGCTTCGTGATAAATATCTTTTAACAAAGAATGGATTATCCGTCACATCTATAATTTAAATTTTTTAGGAGAAATAAGAAATAAAATAAATCATGCTGAAGATAAAAAAAGCTTATAAATGAAAATTTATACGTTAGTGTTGTTAAATTAAAAAAAAAACTATAACTCGTTACAAAAATCGTAACTGTAGCTGGCTACATTTTTAGAAAGTAACTTCCCAAAGTAACTAGTTACTTAATTTATATATATCTTAATAAATATAATTAAATAATAAATCAATTTGTAATAATTTTTCTATATTCCACAGAAGATTTAAATCTTACCCAATGAATACTTATTATATATTAATATATAAATACATTATATTATATTCGATTTAACGTAGTTTAATTGATCTGGCTAGTCCTGAATCTATTATCTTCTATACACTAATATAATTATAACTTTCTAAAATTTTTTCTTATATTAGATTATAAAAATTTCTGATATTCGAAAATATAGTTTTGTATTATTATGTCAATTTTACATTTAAATTCTTAATATTCTAATGCCATATAATGATGTAAACTTAATTTTTATCTCAATGTGCGTTCTATTAATGTTTTATGAGGCAATTATTGTTAGTTACTTATGAAAAAATTGTAATTAGTGACTAGTTATATTTAAAAAAGATAGCTAATAACTGAACCTTGTGTAAAGATCAGTGGCGTCGCTAGGAGGGGGAACGCAGGGGCTCGAGCCCCGTGAAAAATTTGAATAGCCCCCTGAAGAAAATTTTTTTTAAAAATTGCTCCTTAATATCCCCTTGAACTAAAAATAAATCATTTTTAATTGCCCCCTGAACGATTCCTTTTATAATTCTATTGAGTAATATATAGATTTAATTTTATTATTTAAAAATTAATAAAACTATCTAATTTTTTATTAAATGAATACTATTTTAATTATTAGATTAGATTATACATATAAATTATATGTTCACTTTGTCATCTCGCAATCATATTCTGTGTTAATATCAATATCACTCACTAAATATTAATTTAGCATTAACAGTTGAAGCTTAATTGACTTCTATTATTTAAATTATTATATAACCTTAATTAAATAAATATTAATTTAAAATTAAAAAATTTAATATTGTAATTAGCCGAGTTCAAAATCAATAATCAACTATATTATTAATATTTAAATTTAATTACCACGCCTCTTCTTAAAATTATTTTCAACGTCCAAATCCAAATAAGTATAAAAGATTTATTTATAAAAAGTCAGTAAACATATAGTTTATAATCCTCTATTAGATATAATTGGTTATAAAATATTAGGTTAAATACCACTTTTAAAGACGTATTTGACAGTTATATAATATATTACAGTTAATATTTAATAAATTTTACTAATAAATGCTTTTGATAATAAATATAAGTAATATATTGTTTTCAAATATTTAACGCCATCTATTTATTTAGAAATATTTTTTAAAATTTAACATCTTATCATTTATTCTAGAATGGTTGTAATAAATTAGATAACTTTTCTTCTCTTTTTTACGTGTTTTTAGGAAAGCTATTTTTTTTTCTTATTTGAAAAACAGTTTCGAGTTAAATTTTTAATACTAGTATATTTTTGATATTAATACACTACTATTTTAAGATATAATATATCAAGTATAGGTGGTGCGACAATAATATATAAAATCTTAATTAATTTCTTTTATCATATCATATCATTCTGGTTCTTATTTTATAGTTAAAATGTTTCATTTCTAATATGACATCCCTGCCTTGTAAATAACATAAGGCTTCAATACATTTGCATAATGTCTTCTAAAGATCTTTAGTGTTTTTGTTTTATCAATTTATCTAGCATAATAAATTCTGATATAAGTTAATATAGTGAGTGTCATAGCTATGACTTCAAATTAACCAGCATCTATTATTTGCGTGGCTATGTAATTTAAGATAATTATTATAGCTGCCGAGAGTAAATGATTGCATATTTTATAAGCAATAATGGTCAACTGTGTAGCTGTTTATATATCATTAAAAATGGAAGATAATCTTTTAGAAATTTAATATCTCACAATTTTTTTCTTAATTACTTATCTAACTTCCATCATGTCATTTAAGAGAAAACTCTAACCACCATATAGTTTTATGATTTTGATTATCGTTTATATTCTCTTCTACAAGAATTGTTGATTTGGTTAGGCCTATAAATTTTTCCTTTCCATTCTATAAAACATTGTCTAAAATGGTAACAGAAGTTTTATTAGTTTCATGACCTTTTGTCAATGTAACTTGCTAGAATTATATAGCCTTATGCGGTTTTTAAAAACCATTATCAATTGAGGTATATGTGTGAAATAATTAATCTTTTTATCACTTGTAATTTTTTACGCAAAATTTTTTTATATCAGCAATAGAAAATATTTTATACTGTAATAAATAGATTTTGTATTAAAAAATATTATTTTTAGAAATGGTTTGTATTGTTTTAATTATTTATATGCTAGTTTATTTTGTATGCAAAATATTATAAATAACAAAATATGAAATTTAGAATAATTGTCTAGAGTTAGCATATTTTAAAAATGTATAATATATTATTATAAAATCAGGCCGAAGGCCAGGCAAAAGCGGGCCAAAGGCCCGCAAATTTGGAAGTATGGGGGGCTTGCCCTCCATAAATTTTTTTTAGCTGGCCCCCTGAGATTCAAAAGGCTAGCGACGCCCCTGGTAAAGATAATCAAACAATCTGTGCCGTTTTAATAATTTTCTTACAATAAAAACTACCAAATTATTCGCTTATATAAGGTAACTCTAATATTTAATATTATTTCAAATGCTATTATTTTTTTCCCCCTATGCCCATGCAGAGCCTCAGTAATAATTACACAAAATTATTATATATTATATAGATATAATATTTTTTATAAAATAATCATATTATTTAAATAAAATTCTTTATAAAATAATTCTCTATAAAATACATTCTCTATAAAATACATTCACTATAAAATCATTCTCTATAAAATCATTATCTGTAAAATCATTCTCAATAAAATTGTTCTCCATAAAATTATTCTCTATAAACGAAATTCTCTATAATAGTTTTTCCTAGATGTGCATCTCTATAAACATCAATCTCTATATAAAACTTTCTTTAAAAATTATTCTCTATAAACAGCATTCTCTATAATTGTTTTCTCTATAAGTGCATTCTCTATTTTTGCTTTCTCTGAAAAAGTTTCTCTGTAAAATACACCTACTGTAATGGATTATTTTTTCTTAGCAATCTTTATTCCTCTTAATTTATTAATAATTAAAGTTTGATTTGGCATACTCTTAATGTTTTTGATTATTTTTTTGCTACTTCTTATTTGAATTGAATCGATTTTTTATTACTTTGATTATTTTTCTTTTTTCAAACTTTTTTTGTTATATTTTTTTACCGATCCCCCTTTCCCCACCCCTAAAATTTTGTCCTGACTACAGAAAGCTTTTTGATATATCAATTTTAATAGTTATTGAGTAATATATACCAACCGGTTGGGGTTTAGGTATTAAGTGAAATTGAATATTTCCCCATTCATTAAAGCTAACATATGATTTAAATTTTTTTGAGATGCAGAAGCATTATTGCTATAGTTTGTTGCAATATTTATATAAAAATCATATTAATAAACCTAAAAATAATCATATAAATATAGTCTTAAGATTTTTGTGCGAAAAAAAATCAATAACTCCTACAACACCACCAATAGCTTCAAAACCAGTAGAGACCATTGTTAAAGGTTTATAATAATCATTGGTTTTTTTATAAATAGTTTATATAGTTTTACCTAAAAGTAAGAAAAAGCCTTCTATTGATTATAATCAGACATACACTGATAGGAATTTCCTTACAGCACTAAGGGCAATGAGTGAATATCTTTTAAAACCTAAGTTAATTTACTATAATATCTTTGAAAAATACAGAACTTATATTAGGGATTTAGAAAATTTGCCTGTTTTTCAAAGAAGAAGCCCATATGAATACCGTAAGATCAATGTTTATCTTAGGGCAGACATTGAGAGAAGGTTATATATTTTTTATATATCTTATCAATATGAAATATTTAATTTATAGGAATATATTGTTATTGAAACTAAATATTTTTCAAAGATATTATTTGTGTCAAATATCGAAAAAGGAATTTAAAATTTAGCTAAATTAATTTTATAATTTTTTTGAAATTCAAAAAGATTTTAGTTTTAAACACATCACGAAATTAGAGAATAAATAAATCTACATTTTTATTTTTATATAAAAACCAATTAAACATATTGAAAATAAAAAATATTAATCTTTTTTTTATTTAAGATTATTTTGCCAACTTAATAATAGTATATTTTATTACAGCCTAGCCAAATGTTCATAAGGCCTAGGGTTCATGTGTTACTCATAGAAGAATTATTTTATAATATATTAAGTATAATTATACAATTATTTATTATTTTTAGAGCAATGCAAGTATGGGGTAATCATGAGAATTTAACAAAAGAAATACTCAAACGCCGGGAAGAAAATTATAAAAAATTTGATTTTCACAGTAATTTAAATTATGTTTATTAATCAATTAATAAGCATACGATCAAACCATAATGAATATGGACTCAGTTAGATTCAGATTAATAGAATTATTTATAGCTTAGGTTTGGTTTATGAAAAAAAAACAAGAGAACCACATTTTTAATTTTATTACTATTTCAATTATCTAAAAAATAAAATTGTTCAATTTATAATTAAAATATTTTCAAAAGTCTCTTCTTTTAGATTAGATCTATAAGGAGAAATACATGTTGAGTTAACTTCTTCATGTTATCTTTCATAGCTAGCACCATTAAATAGTAGAAAAATGTTTAAAATTAACTTACCAATCAAAATAGATTATTAATATTTGTTAAACTCACAAACATTTTAGAGGTTCAGTTTCAGGGGACAACATTATTAATGGTTTAGTTTAAGAGATCTGCAGGTCTGGGACTCAGTCTTGCACAGGTCAAAATAAGGTAAGATTTTAAAAATCGGGACTGGGCTGGGCTTAAAAATTAAAAATTGGGGCTAGGCTGAATTTTATAAAAATCTGGGGTGGGTCAAAAAAATTTTAAGAAAATTATGGGTCAGGTTTGAAAATAGAATTTATGTTTTAATCTGGACTGGGCCAGACATTTTGACCTCTTCAGGTCTCTGGGTTCGGTCAATATTCTATAATAATAACAGTTAATATCAGTTTAAAGTTTTGGTTTGGATTCCTTTTGTATACCACTTTTTTTGAAAATTATGAGATCTATCTAGTGCTGTAAACATTTCTAAAAAAATCGAACGCGTTCAACATTCATTGTGACAAAAATCGAACACGTTCACTTTCAAAAAAAAGGAACACGCATTCACGTTCGTTCAAAATTTTATGATAAATTTTTTTTAAATTTAATTTCTTCTTCTTTTCCGTATGGCGATTTCCAGGTTTACACGGGTAGGCCAGTTTTCCCTCTGCTTTTTCTTTTCCATTTTTGACGGTCCTGAGCATCAATATTTGTAAGATTTATGCTTTTCATATCTGCCGCTATCACATTTGTTCACATCATCTTGGGCCTTCCTCTAGGTCTTGATCCTCCTACTTCATCAAGATGCATCTCTTTATCTAGTCATCTTTTGTCATACGTTCCACATGCCCAAACCATCTTAGTCTATTTTGTCGCATTACCACTCCAATCATTTCTATACCCAATCTTGCTCGCAATTCCTTGCTAGTTTTCTCTCTCTCGGAGATACCCCACACATCCATTTAATCATCCTCATCTCTGTTCTTTCTAATTTGGCTTCGTGAGTTGCTTTTATTGCCCATGTTTCGCTGCCATTAACTAAACAACTCCTCACACAGCTTATGTAAACTTTCCCCTTTAACATCAGAGAAACTTTTTTATTTGTAAGAATAGACGACATCTCTCTGAACTTCTTACAAGCTTGTCTGACCCTTGCAACAACGGTAGAATCTACACCACCATCTGCGTTTAGCATATCACTCAAATAACAAAACCTATCCACTTTTTCTGGGTTAACCCATTGCCAATACCCAGACCATCATTTTATACATTATCATTATAATGTATCCCTTTCATGCTTGTTCTACAAATAAAGGTCATTCTTGCTAACATCAAACTTCCTTTTTTCCCGCTATATCTATTATGTACTCATTTTTGGTATCTGGTGCATTGGATTGAATTTCTAGCAACTCCTTTCTTACATACACCACAAGGGCACTTACCGGATTCCTCCATCTTTAGATTTTCCCCATCAACATCACCTTTGTCTTTGATACATTCATTTTCAGGCCTTTTACTTCCATAGTCATCTTCCTTTACTAATTTTTTCCTTCAATTCCTACTCACTGTTTGCCATTAATACAGTCATCTGCATATAATAACTCCCAGGGAAGTCCTTCACGCATTTCTCTCTAGCCACCACATCCATTACTAAGATAAATAATAATGGACTCAGCACGTTGATGAAGTCCTACCTTCACCTCAAAGCTTTCACTATCACCGTAATCCGTTCTTACTGCTGTTTGTGCTCCCACATACATTGCCATCATTGCGATAACCAACCATTCCTCCACACCCGATTTTCTCAAGGTTTATCTAGTAGCCTCGGCAGAACCCTATCAAATGATTTCTCCAAATCAACAAACGCATAATATAGCTTCTTTTCCTTCGCAAGTTACTTCTATATTTGTCTCACCACAAAAATTGCATCTGTCGTGCTTTTCACAGATGTAAAACTAAACTGCATTTCATCATTTTTAGTTTGTTCCCTTATCCGCTTCTCTAACACCCTCTCAAATACTTTCATTGCATGTTCCAAGAGTTTAATAGCTCTGTAAGACCCCCAATATAAAGGATCTTTTCCCTTGTATACTAGGATAATTATACTTCTTTGCCAGTCCTCGGGAATAGTTCTTTTTGTGACAATTTTCAATCCCTAAATTATCAGATAAACATCTCTATACCACCATCGTTCAACCCGATACCTTCCCTTTTTTCTTTTTTTTTCACTGCTCTTTTTATTTCGTCCTTGCCAAATTTATACCCTGGGCCTTCTACCTTTGCACAACTAACATTATTATCCCATTCATTTTCTTCGTTCAAAAGTTCTTCCATGTAGATTTTCTAGGTTTTCTTAATACCATTACTATCAATCACTATTTTTCCTTCCATATTTTTCAAACATTTAACACCTACCACATCCTGCCTCTTTTTTGCCATCTGCTTTGCCATTCGAACCACATTTCCCATTCCTTCAGCGCATTCCATTTCTTCAGTAAACTCCTGCCTTTTTTCTTCTTGCGTCTTTGCTATTAATTTCTTAGCATTTCTTTTCGCCATCTTGTAAATATCGTTATCACTATTTTCTTCACTATTATACCATTCTTTGAAGCACCTCCGTTTCTCATTCACAGATTTTGCTACCTCCGGATTCCACCACCAAGTCTCCTTATGTCTAGGCGGCCTTTTTGTCCATCCATACCTCCTCAATTGTCATCACCCAAGCTCTCTTCATGGCTTCCCACTTGTCATTTACCCCAGATACTTGTGCCACCTCCGCCTTCCTTATCGCCAATGTCATATTGAATTGACTTCTAGCACTCTCCTCTTTCAATTTCCAAACCTTCAGCCTTGGCGCAAACTTTCTTTTAGTGATCCTAGCGCCTTTAAAAGTGAGATCTCCTATAATTGGTCGATGATGATTTACATTCCTCTCCTCACTTTCACATTTTTTACTATACATCTATCATATCTCCTTAATAACAAATAATCTTTTTTAAATTTAATTTAATATAAATAAATGTCTTATTTTTTGACACAGTATATTAGACCTGTTAAAAAATAATATATTTTTATAATATAATATAATTATAAATACAATATAATATAGAGAATAAAAAGATATTTTTATTTATAAAAAAGTTTTCTTATTAATTTTTATTAACAATTATTTTAAAAATTTTCATCTGATAGACAGGAACGCTTTTAAAAACGCGCTCTATAGGGGCAGACGAGGGGATTGCGGGATTATACTTAATAAACAACTCTTTTAACATGAGAATTTATTAAAAACATTTATTGTTTTATCCTTTGCTTCAAAAAATTAAGATAAGTTATCCTCCTCCAATCCATCCTCTACTTCCTCGTCAAAAAAGGATATCTCGAGATATCAGTTCTTGCATTAAATTATTTCTAGGGTTTTCAATGCATTTTTTCAATAACACTATAAGTTTATTTTTTATATGTTTGTTCTGTGGAAGTTTTATCCATGGCCATTGAAGCTTGAATACTGAATGTATAATTGCAGAAATAACTTATTGATCTTCATATTATGTTCAAATCTTTAAAAAAATAAAATATATGTATAATTTGATGGCGATAGGTTTAATACCTTTTATTAATCCCATTTAATACTTCTAGGCCACTAATTTTTTTAATTTAAAATAACTATTGTTATTGTTGGCGTCAAGTAGCCCAAAACATTTTTTGTTCAAATTTAATGATAGTTATATTATATAAAATAAAATAATTTATATTTGAATCAAATCTCGTAAATTGAAGCTTGAAGATTTTGAAATATAATTTTTGGGCACATTTTACATTTGTAAGTATTTAATTAGTTCCTTCAATATAGGATGTTACTGTAAAATATTTATCATATTTGGGCTATGGTAATGTTAATTCATCTGATTTTAAATTTTCAGAATCAGATGATGATGAAATAATAATATCCATGCTTATGCTAATCTATTAAATTAAAATATAAACAATATCCAAATTAATAAACTATAATAATTGCGTGTTAGAAAAATTGAAATGAGAGAAAGGAAAAACAGTTACAACACTAGATCTATCTGATTTAATGAAATATATAATATATAGCAATAACAAATTATAATTAATATTTAATAATTATATATGTTGTATTGGGATATGGAATCCATTGGGATTCCGAATTTCTCTATTCTTAATCATTTACTGAGGGTGATTTTTAATTTATAAGATCTGATCTGACCGAATATGTATTTCAGCATGTGTAGAGGTGCCAAAAGTGTAAATTTCAGACAATTTTGCCTTATATCAATTTTTATATAATTTTTTTTAAAAATCTAAATTATAAAATACACAAAGGTTTTTGGTGGACATTGTTTGAAATTTATAGGGTAGGTATTCTACACATGCTAGAGTACATTTTTAAATTAGTTTTTTTTAATTTACTTAGTTAACAATATAAAATTTAAAGATTCCAAATCTCCCCTACATTTAATATCAAGGACATCATAGGATTTTTCAGCAGGGCTTTGAACTCACGAAATTTTTTGGCCTGATTCAGGTTGGGTTCAAAATCAGATCAAAAATCATGAACCAGGCTTGTTTCAAGATGGGATCGGCAGAATAGGTTCTGGCAAAAAATGTCAATCAAATTTTAAATATTTTAATTTTTTCAAAATTTAAATAAAAGAAAGACTTTTTAAGTATAATATTTTAATTAAATTATACTAAAGCAAGATACATTATAATATCACAAAATAATATTTAATTTCAACATTTTTTTATTAAATTTTTTTTTAGTACTAACCCAATTGTCCCTAAAAGGGTTCGGCTTGGGTTCACAAGGAATGTCAGAAAGGGTTCAGGTTCTAAACCTAATTCATAGCTTTGGGCTTAGTTTGAAGACCTGCTTTTTATTTGCCGGGGCACAATGGTGCTCTAATTTAAAAAATTTATATATCAATATTTTTTTATTTTTACTTCAAGATTTTTATTTTTTGTAAAATTTTTACGGGGTTCTGCCCCCAATTGCGTTTTCCTAGTAACGTCATATATCACGGGTTACCATAAAAAGGGACACAGGCTCCACTCTTCCTGGAAAAATTATTATATGTAAATTGTGTAATAATTATATTGTTTTTTTAAATATCTATATCCTTTTTCCATTTCCTAAAATGATAATATATGTTTATAAAAATATTTACATTTTAATTTATTTTATTTTTTTTAATATCCTTGAATATTTATTAAATCCTAAACACCTATTTTATTTTCATATGAATACGATTGATAAAACTATTTTAAAAAGGCAAATTAGATATTATTTTAGATATTTAAGGTTATTATTATATCTTATGGTTCAAAAACATTTCTTTGGTCACAACTAGATCATAAATATGTATAAATTCAAATATACAATAATTTATTGAGGCTTATATTTTTTATCAACCACTTACTTATACAATATTCATCTGATTTCTTATTGTTATCTGATAACACATTTTATGATGAGAGGTATAAATTGTTTATTTTGGTTTAATCATATTATTCATTGAAACAGGACAATCGTAGTATAAATTTATTATCCTCTTCTCCTAGTTACATTATCAACACCTAGTATACAGTTGTGTTCTACTAAGATAATGAAAAATATAGTAATGTATTTTCTAGTAATATAAAGAAAAATATAGTAATGCATTTTCTCGCTCTTAAAATTTTTTACTTAGTTATTTTTAAAGTATGGAAGCACTAGACTCAAGTTCATATGAAATATCTTCAATAAATACAGCCGGCCATATATATAACTGCTGAACTTTTCAAATGCAGATATTAAGTATACTATTTTATTACTTGTCAGTGGCCCCTACATTTTCTAATCGATGGAAACAGAATACTCCCTCCCTTCTTCTCCAAACAGTTTAATTTTTTGACTCCCAACCTCAAATATAAATTACAAGAATACTTTTTATTGCATCAATCTTTAATACATAATATAAATAAAAATGTAAAAAAAATATATATTATTTTTTAATTAATAATTTAAACAAATTAGGGGAAGAGGGAACGAAAGTTAATTTAAACAATAATTAATTGTTTAAATAAATTTTGTTCCATTGATAAAATGGTTAAATTATTAAGAAACGGATCTTTCATGTGTGAAGTCTTGTTTTAATTGATTTAATCTTACTCATGACCCTTTCGACAGTACATGAGGTAGTAGGAATGGTTGGTAAATATTTATATAAAATTGATAAATTAGGGAAAGCAGAAAAATTATAAAGTAAACCATAAGGTAAAATAAACGAATAGTTTTTCCAGTCTGAATTATAAGTCTCAGAATCATCATCATCAGAAGAAGAAGCTAAATAATGTATTAATAAATATTTTAATAAAAACTTACAATTTTTAGAATCTGAAATTTTTTTAGATACTTTAACCTCTATGTCGTCATGTGTAATAATTACATCCCCTATTATAACTAAATATAAATATTTCGAAACTTAGACATTTTTTCAAAAACTTGATTTGAATTTAACTGGTAAAATTTTCAGATATTCTCAATATCATTCTTAACGAATGTCATTTCCGTCATTCCCTTTGGTGTAAAAAATGATGTTTGATTTAAAAATTTCATCGATTCGTCATTTAATCCTTCATTTAACTGTATAATGAGCAAATCAATTGCAGCATCAAACACACTTGTTTTAAATCTAATTTTAAATATTATATTTAATTATGAAGATATATATATATATATATTCCTCTCCTCTTTGGATTATAATTTTTCAAAATCAAAAGGTAGATTTCTCCCCTTCATAAAATCTTGTGCCTTTGAAAAAACATTCAAAAATTTAAGTGTTATTATCTATTAGAATTAAAAAATAATACAAGACAATAATTTAAATTATACTTCTCAAATTAATCAGGCAATATTTTCACTATTGAATTTGAATTATTGCAAACCCTGTATCCTTCGAAATGGTTTACAATTTTGAAGTCAAGCTTGTCAACAATATTTTCTCCAAAACACAAGGTGATAAAACAAAATCAAATTTTCTAATTTAAAAACTATAGAATTTGCCATGATAGAAGTGGCAGGATCTTCAGAATTCTTTAAATTTGTAAAAGTTGCCCTCAAGGCGTCATAAAGTAGAAAGTTTTACAATAGCTCTATATGATTTTGTAAATATAAAATAAATTTTAAATCTAAACAAATAAGATAATATTACCGATATCCTAAAAATCGTTGCGATTTTGTCAGTACATCATTCTGACATGCTATTATTCCAATTCTGTGAAATGCCTTTTAAAGCTACTATTTCAAAGCTTTTCTTTATATCTTTAAAATTTGGTTAACCATGATTTTTCTAATATGGTCTGTCCATTTATCATCTCTTATATTATGCCGTGTGTACAATTATTAATTAAGTATTTGTATTTTTTTTGGTAAATATTTTTGGCATATTTTGAAATTAAAAAAATAAGTTTATAAGACAAGAAATCCCTTGGTTATGGATGGGTATAATATAACAATAAATGAAATAAAATTAAAAATAATTAAAATAGTAAAAAATTTATTTAAAAAAAAACTACTTCCATTTAAATTTTAAGAAAGTTGCTTCGTTCCCCCCCCCCTTTTTTTTGTAGAGGCCACTTAGCTGGTGATTAATCATATGAAAGATGGGCTGAGAAGGATTTCGATATTTAACGAAACTACTAGTCATTTTTAATTTACAATCGTATATATTTTTTTAATTCCAAATTAATAAGTTTTGATTACTCTGATAAATTTCAAATTCTGACCTAAATATTCATTACGAATTTTTTTTATAAATAAATTTGAACCTCCCAAAAATATAATGGGCGCCCCTGTGATATATTTTTATTATTTTGATATAAATAAAATATATTAATATGAAAAGAAATGTATATAACTGAGCCAAGTAAATTAATAAGTAAGAAAAACAAACATTTTAAAAGGTCGAGTTGATGTGTTAGAAAAACATTTTAAATTATCTGCCAAATGCCTTGCACAATCACTAATCAATAAAAAACTATATTAATCTTTTTCTGAGATCCCTAGAATTTTATCATATAAAACATAAAATTTTGGGGGAAATATTTATTAGAGATAATTTCAAATGTTTTCCTAACACTTTTACTCTCAAAGCAATAGTTTTTAAATTTGTTATCAACTGTTAATAAATTTTGTGAAATATTTTTTAAAAGATTATATTATATAATTTTTCCTTTGATTAATTGGGTTCAATTTGAAAATTTTATATCAAAATCTGCATGTTAAAAAACAAAAAAAAAATTAAACAGACTCAATAACACTTTTTTGCCTTTTTTTACAGAATACACATCTATCTCACGGGCCATGAAAAAATACCTTGGCATGATTGGTATCAAAAACGCAACTGATATGACACCTGATTATAACTCTCAAAATGATATTAATGCATCAATAAAAAAAGTAATATGTGCACTATTCATTCATATTAATTATTAAATAATTTTATTATATAAATCCAATGATTTTCAAAATTTCATTAAAATTTAGTTATTTATTATTGTAATCATTTATTCATTTTATTTTTTTGAGCCTGAACTAATTTTGGAAAATAATCTATAAGAAAATATTTTAAAATAAATTCTACAAATAAAAGCCTCAAGTCCACCTTAGCATATGACCACCTCAATTTCCTAATCACTTTAGCTTGCTACTACCAACGGAACTCTTATTTTAAAATGATAGTATTAAAAGTGTTCTATACAAAATATGTTAACCAATTCTATATTGATCTAACGTCATCGATCTTGAATAGTCACTTTATGGAGCTTTTACTCTATATAATATATAATCTATATTAGTATTCTATAATGAAAAAAACTTGCAAAAGAATATTTGTATACACAATTTATTTTTCACCTTATTTCCAAAAAATAGCCCGTTACGTCTTCCTTCTTATCTCTGAATACAACGTCACACGAACCGATTCACTCCCTTTTCAGGGATACGTCATTCATCATATGGACAGCGGTTACTATGTAAAATATTTTAAGAAAGTATTTAATATTATTATTAACCCCTCATTCACATTTCGCCCGAATTCGCGGCGATGACAACAAAATACAGCTTATTTTTCATACTTCGCCACGAATTCGCGCTAACTGTGATTGCAAGGTAAAGTCTCATTTATAATGAGTAAGATCGATTAGCTCCACTATTTACCATTATTTGATTTATATTTTAAACATCGCGATGCATTGCCACCCTATTTTCGCACTTACTATACATGAGGCCTAAATTTGTGCAAAATAAACTTGGTTTTTAATCTCTCTTCTTGTTCGCTATTTATAATGTTTCTTGTATAATGGAAAAATCACTTTATCGCGGTTTACATAATACATGAACAAAGACACTTATCCGTTCTTTATTGTTGTGTTAAAAGAGCTAGAAAATATTTTTTTTTGAAAAAAGAAGGAAACTCAAGGTTGCTGGATTTTTGAATTTGGCCATATTTAAGTAATTTTTCTATTTGTAGGCCTGATAAAAGAAACGGCGAATAGTTTTAGTCTAAAGCAATGACCTTTACCTTGAGAGGTTTTTGAGAAAGCACGATTTAATTAAATTCGCCTCAATGCTCAGCTGATTATTTTTAGTATACGCTTGTTGATTGAGGCCAGCTATTACCCAACTAAAGCCGTCATATTATTTTCCATAAATTTTAGTTAGTTATTTTTTTTAATATTCATAATTGTATTTTCATTATTATTATTATTATTATCATTTGTTAATTAGAAATTTTTTTAACTTTGTCGGCAAAACCGTGGCTTGCATTCATACGGGCTCACATAGTTTATTCGCGGAAGCTATCCATTCTTTAGCCGATACCCTAAATCAAGTTTATTATAATTAATTCGGTTTTTTAACTACGGTTAAATTTGGTTTTCGGGTTGGATTTGGTCAGAACAGGACCGAGCCGTGACACTCACTATGACCATAATTCATATATATATACTATTTCTTATGACAATGTACAAGATAAATTATATATCATAAATCTATTATTATTCTTTTTGTATAGCTGATTCTGGCCTTTGGAATAAAAGCGTCCCACAAGAAAGCTGATATATTACACCCGTAAAAAAATTAAATTTATTATAAATGAATTATAAATCGATGGCTTTTTTTATTTTAAAAAAACGAGAGCTGTGCCGATCTGCAAATTTTATATGATTCCGATATTCATACAAAGCCGATCTGATATTTACATTGATTTTTATTACCATCTATCTGGACCATTAGAATAAAAAAAAATATGTTTTTTTCAATTATAATAACTCTAGGTGTAAACTATGTGATAAACAAAAATATTCTGAGATTTTAATTTTTCTTTTCCCTTGGCCAAGGCCATATTTGGTGCATTACCATACTAGATATAAGCTTGTCAAATATTAAAAATAAATTAAATATAAAATTATTCCACTTTTATATGTATTTTTAGTACTTTATCTTGAATGCGATATATCCAAAAATAAAATATCTGTCTATGAATAAATATTTTTAGTTACGGTTATTTGAACATGAAGTACGTTTCTTGCCTGATCAGTGGAGTCGGAATATTTTGTTTCGGGTGCGGTTTATCAATTTATCACGGGATATCCGCTATTTTGGACCCGCACACTGTAGAGTCCTTAAATTGGGTTTTGATTATAATATACTATATATAAAAATAAGAAAGATTTACAAAATCTTAGAGTATCATTTCGCAATTTCTCGCAATTTTATAATCAAAAACATAATATATTTTTTAAGCTATTTTAATATTTAAGATAATTATTTATTACAAAGTGCTTATTATATCATTTTTTTTTCAAAATTAAAATAAACGCAGATAAAAAATTTCTTTTATAATTTTTTTAAAAACTGTAAACCCTTTTAAGTTGATCATCCATAGACCTATGTTAACATAGACTGCCCAAATATTAAAAATAACATCTCTAATTGCCATTTTGAAGATTACATTGCAACATTTATTTTGTAATGCATATCACTCATTTAAGTACATTTGACTTATATACAATTATCTAATCCTATATTCATTTTATTACCTTTAATACATATTATGTTTAGAAAAGAAAATTTAAATTATATTTAAAAAGTGTCTACAAAAAAGTTTATCAGAACAGTAAAGAATTATATTAATCAAATATATTTATTTTACATAAAACTTCGTGAAATTAAAGCATAATACTTAAATATTAATTATTTTCCATTATATTATTTTGAAAAATAAATGATATCTAAACGTGCACTACGTGGCACATCATGCAACTAGCATCTATCTATAATATATATAAAAGCCTTGTCACACTGTGACAGTTACACTTTCACAATTTATAATATATATTTAAATAATCGTTAATTTTGAAAAGTGCCTTTGGCCCAATCGGCAAGAGCATCGCTTACAAATCTGATGGACTTAGGTTCGAATCCCAGCAAAAGTTTTTTTTTCTTAATCTGGCAAAATTAATCAAATAGAAGATACGATTTAAAGTTTGTAGCTACTTTAAAATTCAAACTTCGATGGCTCTGGGTTCGAATCCCAGCAATGTATTTTTTTTCTTAATCTAACTTGGTGGTTTCATCCTTGGGGAGATGTTAATATCTAGCTATCTATAATCTATATTTATACTATATATAAAAGCCATGTCACAGTATTTAAAAAATCGTGAATTTTGAAAAGCGTCTATGGCCTAATCGGCAAGAGTGTCGCTTACAAATCTGATGGCTTTGTGTTCGAATCCCAGCAAAGGTCTTTTTTTTCCGAATCCCAGCAAAGATTTATTTTTTCTTAATCTAACTTGGTGGTTTCATCCTTGGGGATATGATAATATCTATCTCTAATATATATAAGCCGTGTCACAACGTAATAGCCAATAGTATTCTTTTAAACCATGGCTTGTTCGGTCCAATAATAATATGAAACCATATCAAACATTCATTTATTTAAGCTACCATTACATATATACTAGAATTTTTAGTATCAAATTTGTAATTTGTTTATTTTTTATTTGGACAAATTTATTTATAATATATATTTTAAAAATCGTGAATTTTGAAAAGTGTCTGTGGCCTAATCGGCAAGAGCGTCACTTATAAATCTGTTGGCTTTGGGTTCGAATCCCAGTAAAGATCATTTTTTTTAATCCAACTTGGTGGTTTCACCCTTGGGCAGATGATATATAGGAAGCCGGACTCTACTACTTGATTCTATTATAATATCTTATATCTATCTATAATCATAGGTCTATAATTTTGCAATTTGGGAAATCAATGGAATTATTATCATGGCATGTGATTTATATGATATTTTTAATGATGATTTTATATAATACCCAAGATACCTCACCAGAAGACAAAAAATATAGCCTAGCCATTTCATCAGAGGATCAATATTTAGATTTTCACAATATCAATGTTTAAATTATCAAATATATTTTCTTACATTAAAGATTTTATTGTAGAATGGATATATCTGAATTTTATACAATTATATTTTAATTAGGTAATTTTTATGCATAAGTAAATATTTACATTTATATGATGACTATCTGATAGATCATCAAATTTGACAAAAAATTAGAATTTTCTCCTTAATTTGATGATGGATGAATTGAATTAAAAGCCATGCTTTATGAATTATCACTTTTATAAAATATCATAGATCTGTAATTTTGCAACTTGGTAAATCAATGAAATTGTTATTATGGAAGTAGATTTTGGTTTTGTTATTTAATACAACTCAATTGCCGTTAGCATAACTGATATTTCTAAAATTTTGCAATTTATTACCATATTGGCTATCGTATAGGCTATTCCATGTTATGGATGCAACTTCAGCTGAATAACTCTCTTATCTTTTCTGAAGATTTGGCCTCCTTTTACATGCATTCCATAGTTTTGTATGTTTTCTATATTATTCATATAACTTATTATAAAATTTTTGATTAAATGTATAACCTTTTTGTTTTACATATATAATTTGATTATGATTGAAATTAATCTTCTGTTATTTGTTAACTTAGAATCTCTTTTTATTTTTTCAATTGTAATTTAATAACAATGTCTTAAATTTAATTTTATATTTTGTACCTAAGTAATAAATCATTTATTATTTGGAGGGTTGTTCTCTGTTTAAAATTTAAATTAGGATGAACAATTTTCACTAATTTTTAAAAGGCATGGTACTTTAATATGTATTCATGAATTTCATATAAATGCCGGGAGTTAACCAATTGAATGATGGGTAGAAAATCCGATATTTCCCCTTCATTTGATAATAAATTATTTTGAAAAATTTTCCCAATAATATAGATTGGTAAAAAAAAATGTACATATTAGACAGATTTAATTCTTATTGAACCCCTTACATTTTACCTATTTTTCTGGATCCAAGAAAAAAATAAATTAATATGGGGTTTTCTGGGCTTGGGAAATATTTTTCACAATTAATATAGGCTTGGACCTGACTTGGGAAAAAATTTTCAAAATTATTATGGTCATATGCTTAAAAATTTTTTAATTTTAAATATTGGTTAGACATTGGCCTGAAATTTTTTTTTTCAAGACATGGCCAGACCTGATCAAAAAATCAAGGCTCATGTTCAAAAAAATAGTATTCACTCTTAGTCTTAATGGGTTGGCCTTGGTCTAAAGTAGGGGTTAAAAAGAATAAAAAAATAAAGATGGTTTTTAGAGATTTACCTATCTTCAGGGCTGTGAACAAATTTTGAAAATTACTATGGGTTGGCCAGGCTAATTATTATGGGTTGGACTAGACTTGGGAAAAATTATTATCAGCTTGGATGCTTGGGAATTTTTTATTATTAACTATGAGTCAGACAGTGGCCTAAAACAATTTTTTTTTGTAGGCCTGGAGTTGGTCTGATCAAAAAACCAAGGCCCATGAAAATCTGATTTTGATTGTATTTTTAAATTCATTATGATTTTTTAAATATTTTATTTCAGTTCTCAACTAACAAAATTATTATGATCTTTCATTGGGCTTGGAACAATTTTTTCAAAATTATTATGGGATATCTTCCTTGGGAATTTTTTTTTATTAAATATTAGGCATAGGTGATCAGTAATATTTAATAAATAATATTGATATTATTTAGTAATAATATTGATATTATTTAGTAAAAGCTTTAAATATATTTTGACTCAAACCATAGTATTTACACTTAGTTTTAATGGATTGAACCTGGTTTGAAGGAGGGGGGGGGGGTTTATAAAGAATAAAATATCAGGTAACAACTATCATAAAAGTAAGAAAAAAATTCTCATTCCCCGTCATTTTTGACGAGCTATCTACTAGTATTATATAACCATTTTATAATAAAAGTAATTAGGTTAAATATTTTAGATATTTATCAAAATTTCTTTCATTATATTTAAATCGCATATTATTAAAATCGCATATTATTATAAATTGCTAGGTAATAATATTCTTTAAGAAAAAATTTATATTCTATAGCAAATTAATTCTATCCATTTAACAATTTTTACAATAATAATATATAATAAAAAATAAAATATTTAAAAAACTTCCGCAAGGTGGAGTATTTATTAAATCTAATTTATATATTTTTACAAAATATAAATATTTATTTTATAATTTATGTTTTATCGTTTTTTGATTAAATTTAATATTAATCTTACTTTAAGCAAAATAATTTACATTATTGATGATAAAGGATTGTTATCATATAAATCGAAGTATATGTGCATAAAATATATTTATTTACCTTTTTAAAAATTGTTCTTTTGATGAAATTTAATATTTTTTAACCTTGTGGTTAGCATATTATAATGAAAACCTGCTATTTTCAAGATGAAATGAACGATGTCTTAAATACATTATTCAATTGGCGGTTGAGCAGTCTATGTTAATATAAGTCTATGAGTTTATCTCAGACAAGCTATTATATCTAAATTGTTCTATATATTAGTCATTTCTATTTTTTACCGCTTTTGAGTGGCCACATCATTTTGTGAAATTTTCGACTTAGAAAGAGATCCTACAATGGATCCTAAACGAAGTCGGCAAAATGGAATTAATCGGTGTAACAAAATTGTAAAAGAAGTGAATCGAATAGTTATAGATTCTTTAAATCGTTTCAAACTACCTATTTTGTTAAATAATTTAACCTTAATTGTTGTGTGATAATTATTATGTAGGACTATTTTCCTTATTTTGTAGGAAAAACAAATTAGAGATTTAATCCATTAAAATCGAATACTTTTCGCGATAAATTATATTATTTGATTATAAATAAAATTGAACACTTATATTCATCAACTGGAGCGCAACCAAACTGTTACAGTTATAAATTTTTTTAGCAACCGGAGAATAATCTTTAGCGATATACATAACGGTTTGGGTCCCTGCTTTTTAGGGCGAAAAATATATAATTAGATTTTATTTAAATACAATATTTTTGATAAAATTTTAAAAAAATGAATGGTTTATATTTTCATTTCAAGTTAGCTAATTTAAATATCGAATATTATTTTTTAAAATAAATATTTTAAAAAACATAAATAAAATATGCATACAGGTGTTTATGATTTTAGCATGTTCATTTATATCTGAAGGGGCTACTTTGATCTTATCCATAAATTCTGTCCGTAGAAACGCAAACAAAAGAGGATTATCAGTTTTAGATTATGGTAAATATTTTTGCATTATATTATATTTTTGTTATACTTCAATCAATTTTACAGGATAGAGATTTTATAAACATTATACCATCTGCAAAACACTATATAAACTATATTTTATTACATACAGATACATGTATTTTCAATTAACATTGGTGTTTTTTTTAATTTTAAGGGGTAGAAGATAACCTTACTAAGGATAAGATTCTAAGTTCTGATCCTAACTCAGTTTCTATCGAAAGTAATTTTCAAAGTCGTTGTTCTGGACTGAATGAATTAATTTAAATTTAAACAAGATTTAAATAATTAACTAAATATTAAATAATTAAATAAAATTGAACTTTATTTTAAGAAAAAGCATAATAATAATTTTTGATATAAAAAAACGAATATTATATATATTATAATATTTTTATCAACATTTGCATATTCATCCAAATTCCACGAAACATAAAACTTAATAATATACTCCAAAATTAGGAATAAAACAAAAACATAAAAATTAGAATATCAACACATCGTTAAACTCAACTTAAGTAAAACATAAAATAAACAAAATAAAAATTATAGTTAAGCATAACATAAGTACAATATCAAATTAGCATAATCCTCTTTCATCACAACCAGCAGCGTAACCAATGGGAGGAGGGGAATCCCTCCCTCATCGCAATTTTGATTGTTTTAATAAATATCAATTTAATAAAAATTTTACCCCCCCCTTCCCCACCCTTAATCAAAATTTTGCAAGTATTTGAATATCAATTTTCCAACATAAAACTTATTTTTAAAAAACATATTTATTAAAATTTTCTTTCCTTGATTTTATTGATTATAAAAAATTATACATTGTGTGTGATACACAAATATTAGAAGAATTTTTACAGTTTATATCAGTTGTGGATATGAGAGGGGAGCCCTCGCCCAAACTATTTTGTTAAATTTAGAGAAATATAAGCTAAATATAAACTTAATGCGAGGGCAAGGTTATGGTGGCCATAGTACATATATAAAAAAAATATCCATCCGCTATATATGTTCACTGTGCATCTCATTCGTTGAATTAGCAATATCCGATTCATGTATTCTACCTTCTATACGCAACGCCATGGGTATTTTAACTTATAAAATAAAATAAATATATATTTTTAGCCATTATATTCAAAATTTATGATTTTTTTGAATATCCGAACCGTCAGATGTTTTAAATCGAACTATATCTATGAATGAACCAGAAACCCATCATCAAAACTTAAAAAATATGTGCCCTACACGATGGTTATACGTCATTATTCAGTTTCGGCATTTATAGAATTGGAAGAGATGATCAGAATACCTTTACATGATATTACTAAATGGCAAGATAAGTGGCATAGATAACCTCCAAAAATTTTTTTTTTTTTAAATTTTTTAGAAAATTTTTTTTCTTTCTTATTGCAAATAATTTTATTTAAAAAAATGGTTTCAATTTATAAATAAAATTATATACGATATGAAAATGAAATATATTTAAAAAACCAAAAGAATTTTCAATTTTAAATGATAACATGGTTTAAAAATATATATTAAAAATTACATGTAAAATATTAAATAACAATAAAAATATATTGTAAATTTTTTCTCGCATAGTTAAATTAGATATTTATAAATTTAATAATAAAATTTATATTGTTAAACTTAATTAGATAGTTTTAAAAATTTTAATTAATTTTTTATAATTTTTAAATAAAAATTATTTAATTTGGTAAATATAATGAGAAAGTAAAGGTGATCGCTTGGGATTAAAAATTTTAAACCTAGAGTAGTTTCTAGATAGTCCAATCGCTTAAATATTGATGCATCTATGATTGAGTATTTTTATAAAATGAATATTTTTACTCCCTTTATTGATACATTTTTATTTCAAATTTATTAGTCACAATTTTATTTTAAACAGCTTTTATTTTCTTTTGCCTGTTGAGTCTAAATACACTTAAACGCGAGAAGATGTTAAGAAAATCTCAGAGTTTTATTCTGATGAATTATCAGGATCATATGATAAGTTACTTTGTGATGTCGAATTTTGGTATAAAAATTTTAACAGAATAGAGTACTCTTTAAGGCCAAAATATGCTTTGCTGGCCCTTTCTATGTTTGCACTTTAGATTCCCTACCTAATATCAAAACATTGCTTTTTATTTTAGCTACCTTACCGATTAACACCTGCACTAATGAAAGGTCTTTTTAAACTTTGAAAAGGTTAAAAACCTATTTAAGAAATAGCACCGGTGAAAGCCGTTTAAATGGATTTGCAATATTAAATATTTATAAGGAGATTATTTTAGATAAAAATTTCATTCTGGATGAATTAGTCAAATCTCAGAGAAAAGTAGTCCTCTCTTTATAAATTCAAATTATAAAATTGCTATATTATTATAATATGATCTTAGTCATAAAATTTTTATATTCAAAACGTGATTATAATGAGTTCTTAGTCATAATATTTATATATTATACTATTTTTAATAAAAATATTGCATTTGCACTAAGAATTAGTGATCTGCATCGGGCCTAATTTTTCAAGCCCGGCCCTGCACGAAATTATTTTAAGTTTTGCCTGCCCGAACCCAAAATTTTTTTTAAAAGGTTTTGTAGGTCTGGCCCGAATTTATATTAATATAGAAATTTATTTTTATAATTACTCAAAATAAAAGATATATATTATATGGCGTATAGTTTTTATAAATAAAATCAAATATTTTTATTTTACATAAAAAATTTAACATAAATTTGATATATTTAGATATATTTAAAAAAATTTCCAAGGCCCGACCCAACCCGGCTCGAATTTCTTCAAAAAATATTAGGCCAGACCCAGCCCGATCCTGATTTTCCTACTTTTGCGGATCTATAATAAGAATTATTTATGTTTTATTAATATACTCATTTGTATTAATTATATTATAATTGTTAAATTAGATTTTTTTTAAATGCCGCACAAGAATATTACTCATATTTTATTGTAATTCTATTTTTTTTAAATATAGTTATTTAGAATAAATTTTTAATATAATCTGTATAAAATTTATACATTTTGAAATTTATTTTATTGTATAAATAATAAATAAAATCTATAATGAAATTCTCTGCAAAATTTTGTTATATGCAAAAATTTAATTAAAATAATTATTTTTAACATAGAATAAGATATATTGAGTGATCATAAAAAATGGGAGGTTTGGGGGCGATTTTATTCTTCTTTCTACACCGAATTGATTGAATTAATTTACAATTGACTAAACATTGATAAAATTTTCAGAATAATGTTTTCAGTCGCGTATTAATCATAAAGTTGGCTAAAATTTTGTTACTTTTTCCATTTATGCTGGCTACTATAGTGGTTAGACACCAATAAAGCACAAAATTGGCAAATTTTTAAAATGCGGTTTGGGGGTTTCGCCCTTTAAAAAATTTTTTAAACCCCCCCCCCCCCTTATGGATCAATCCTGGCTACGCCACTGAAGATAGTAATGTGTCTTCAGAAGCGATATTATTATTAAATTCAATAGATCAATCAGAGTTTATCTTTGCTGCTAGTTGCATTAATAAATTATTTTCCTATAGCTCACTACTTTGTAAATATTTACAAAAACCATTTGGTTCAGGTTAATGATTTGGGAAAATGTATATGAACAGGTAAATACTATAATATTGAATGTAGATGAATATTTTCATAATATTTATCTAGACGTTGAATCGAAAGCTAAATCTTATGATATAACACTAATTAAACCTCCTCTAACACCTAGACAATTATTGAGATGTAATATAACTGTTGACTCAACTGAAGAATATTATAAAATATCCATTTTTATCCCATTCTTAGATCATTTTTATCACAAATAAAGTACGGTTTTTAGATAAAAAAAACAAGCCTAGCAATCTTTAAATTTTATTACCTAAAGACCCTTCTTCGTTTTCTGATCCCATTATTAGTAAAATTAAATATTTAGCAAAATTTTATTTCTATGATATTGATACTAAAATCAATTCAGTGAATTCGCATTGTGATAGAATATTTACTGCGTTTATTTATTTTACCTAAGCATGCTATTGATGAGCTCAATCGGTGTAAAAAAACCTTAACTCAATTTCTAAATATTTTTATGTTGTTTTATATTCTTGCATGTTTGCCTATTACAACATGTACGAATGAAAGGGCCTTTTCCAACTTGAGAAAGTTGAAAGCTTATTTACGAAATACTACTTCCGAATCTCGGCTTAATGGGTTAGCTCTGTTAAATATCCATAGAGATTTGGTTCCAACTACAAGAAATTCTTGATGAATTGGCAAATTTCCCATTAAAATTAAATGACACATTATAATATAGTATTTAATAAATTTTTTGTATAAGATTCTACCAACTTTTTCCTAGAAATAAATTCTTACTTCAGAATACAAACCAAATGAATATTACTATAATGAATTTGAAATATTAAGCTTTGTGGTTTTATTCATTTTTTTAGAGGGATATTAGGGATAGACAATTCTTTTTTAAACACCTTACCATTTAAAATAGTTTCTTACTTACAAATTAAGAAAAAAAAATCTATCATAAAACTATTATAAAATATAAACAAAATTTTATTTTTAAAAAATATAAATGAACAAAAAAGTATTATCCGGACAAGACCCGAGTGTTAATGTGTTACTCTTGGAAGATTTGGCTTCCGTCATAGGTGTAAGTATCGCCTCTTTATGCTTAAGTCTCAATTACTACCATTCGCATCATTATAAAGCTGGATTAAGTTCCGAAACCCTCATTGCAACAGAAAACAGTTTATCCACCCTTCCAGAAAATGTTGTAGTACCCATATACGATGCAATTGGGTCTTTATCGATAGGGATTCTTTTGGGAGTGGTGGCCAGCTTTATTATTTATACGAATAGTGCTGCTCTAGTCGGGAAGTGAGTTTAATTCTATAGAATTTTAAAGAATATCGTAAATATGGCTTGTAATTTAGATCTATTAAAAAATATTTACAACTTACTATATTACAAAATGATTACATATTCATTAGTGTAATCTCGTTTCTTGGACATAGTTGTATTAGACGTGATTTTATTAAAACTTTAGATATTTTTTAGCCATTATTAGGGTGGAATAACGACCCTTTCTATCGGTCTTAAATTTAAATTAGGCCACACCTGTTGACGAACCGGCTTTTTTAAGGACCGCAGATCTCAGGACCAAACAAGGACTGGCGATTTTGCTTATTTTTGGGCAGGGTTGGGCAAAAATGTTTTTTTTTTAAAAAAAATATTAAAATACCCACAAAAAATTGAAAAAATTTTTTAATACAAATAATTTGACGAATACTTTTTCGAAACAGGGTTTTTTATAGTATACCAATAATATTTTTACAAGGATATTTTAATTTTTTCTAAAAACTATGTAAATTATATCTTATCGAAAAATTTGCAGGTATTTTCAAATAATTTATGCTTTTACTTATTGCTTTTGGAAGATATTTTGAAGAACCTGCCGTCTAATATGTTTAATTGACATGTAGGAGATGTGAAAAGACACAGATAAGATCTTGAATCTTTTCTTTAAATCGGATCTCAGAATTAATATTTAATAAATATAATTATTTTATAATTTTAAATAAAAACTAAAGGTTTTCAAATCGTAAAATGCAATATTTTTATAAATATTAAAATACAAATACTAAATATTCTCTAAAATACAAAAGGTATTTTTACTTACTATTTTAACCGTAATACTAAGCAACCTTACTTATGGGAAATATAAATAGTTCTTGCCTGACTAAGTAAACCATTTCAGAATGGAGGGGAGGGGGGGGGCGTTATTTTATTAAGATAGATTAGAGGATTCTGATTATTGACTTTTTACTGATGGGAAGGGGGAGTTCTGGTGATCCTTGAATTTGAATGTTTAAGGAAAAAATACAAATACTAAATATTCTCTAAATTATTTAAATAAATACTAAACATAAATACAAAAAGATATTTTTACTTACTATTTTAACCGTAATATTAAGCAACCTTACTTATGAGAAATATAAATAGTTCTTGCCTGACTAAGTAAACCATTTCAGAATGGAGGGAAGGGGGGGGGGCGTTATTTTATTAAGATAGATTAGAGAATTCTGATTATTGACTTTTTACCGATGGGAAGGGGGAGTTCTGGTGATCCTTGAATTTGAATGTTTAAGGAATCGGGTTCAGCAGAAATTGGCCTACCTTAATCATAAACTACCTTTTCTTATATATCAAATTGCGACTAATTCATTTTTTTAAAAAATATCATTATGATTTTGTTAGATCGATCCCTTTAAAAGCTCAACAACAAATTTGTAGAGAACTGGAAAACGACGTGATGGTTAGGTTAAAATAAAAAATCCAAATTTATATTTCAAAAATTAATAAATATCTGTTTATATATAAAGAGCCGTTCATGATGTTAAAGCTACCACTATGGGCGGTAATTTGGTAAAATTTAAAGCTGAAGTTGATATAGATGGTAGGGAAATTACTTTAGCCTATTTAGATACTCAAGATCTATTTACCATTTTAAAAGTTATACCCTTATATAAATAATTAATTTAAGTCAGAAATTTTAAATCTACAGAATGTTTATAGGATTATGAATATTTAAAATTTATGCCCCCCCCCCAGAGAAGCTTTATTATTACCCACTTTAATATAACATATGAATGAGTTAACATATATATGCTATTATAGGAAATGCAAAATATGCAAGGCACCAACGAGGTGGAAAATTTCTTACTTAAACACGGGGAAAATATAGTAGATTTATTGGGCGCCGAAATTGACAGAATAGAACAAACATTGAAGGTTATTATTCAATTTTAAGATTAGAAGCTAATCTATGTATAAGGATTACTTCCATACCAGACTTTTTGTTTTTTTCAGCTGAACTGGATAATAACCATTGCATCCTAAGTTTATATGCATATTACTTTACCATTTAAGCTATGGCGATAAATAAGGAATAGTTCATAATATACTTACTTTTAATGATCACAATTATATAATTAATGGAAACTATTTATATTATTATCTATATATATTTTAAAAATTTCCATTTAGAAAAAGCACCCCGAAATGAGGCATGTTGATTTGGAAGTCCTCTAATTGGATACTATATTATTCGCCGAAATTTTGTCAAAAATATATTATATAAATTAGTTAATGAAATTGTTCGATAAATTATTGTTTACATCAACATCACAACATTGTAAAATACACTTGAATGAAATATTTATTAATATAGTATTTTTTATAATAGATATTAACTTTGACAGCTTAAGTTTAACAACTTTAAAATATAATTTGTTTGTTACCTAATAATATGAGTTACCTTAAACCAAGGTTTGAACCCGAAAAATTGTTTGGTTGGGCATTGTGAGAATACATACCAAACAGAGACCGATTTATGGGCAATCGGATTCGGACCGCTTTTAGAAAATCGGCTTTCAATTAAGTTCCTGTTATCAAAATTTCCACTAAATAGAGTTTAAAATTCCTGAATTCCAATTCGAGTCCAGAACACTGCCTTAAACATGTTTTTACTTTTTTTTAAAAATTAATTTTAAAATATATTTCTTTTAGGTTATACGTCTTGTTTTAATAGAGCGAAAGAAAGAGAAAAATAACTGTTCATAGTAAAAATTCAATTTTATTAAATAATTTAAGCCAAGAAATTAATTTTACCTCGACAGAGTTGTTAAAAATAGCTCGATACATATTTGCGTTATTTTTAATACTATAAAATGCAAAATAGAAGGTATACCATTGCCCGATACCATTTTAAATCAATCATAACATAAAAAGCATTAATTTGGATGCACTAAAAAATATTATCTCTTATATTCAATGAGGCTGAATCCAGTAATTTTTTTTTAAAATAAAAACCATCTTCTTGCTTTAAATGAAATGTATGTTTACAAATATTTCATATAATTAGGCTTGTTTAAAGATTTCTTTGAGAAAATCATGTCTCATTACATATGAATGTATTAATAAATAGCAGAGACTTGCAAATGTGCCATTTGCATGACCAAGCCCGAATTTTAAAAATTTCGGCCCAATCATGATTTTTTAAAAAAAATTTCGGCCCAGCCCTGGTTTTATATTTTTAGACTTGGCTTTTTTTTTAAAAAATCTTCAGGCTCGACCCGGATTTTTTTAAATTATAATATATTTAATTTTTATAGATAATAATGGCAATTTAAAATCGACCGGCCCGAGTATTTATTTTTATAAAGATTTTTAACCCTGGCCTGGCCGGGGTATTAAATACCCGGGTCGGGCCTAGTGGGCTCTGATAAATAGTAAGACCAGTTATAAAGATCAATTTATCATCATTTCTAAAAAATTAATGTATACTCATTTTTAATTAATTTAAACAGTTTTCTGGAAAACATTTTTATTTATTATCAATTAAGATAAGCAATACTTCATAACATGGAAGAAATGCTGCTATTGATATAAGCATTATAATAAAATAAAATTTGATTAATATGGGTTTAGTCATAACTGAGAAGAAAGATGTAACCACAAATGCGGCATGCAGCAAATGTAGAGAAATTGGTCATTATGCTGTTTGTTGTAAATCAAATATTTTAAATTTATAATATAGGAGATTCCAGAATCGAGTAAAACTAACTGCAAAGATTAATGGGTTAAATTTTGAAACTGATGCGCAGGAGTCATTGATCATAGTTGATATATTGACAAGTATTGGGCTTCTAAAATTGCAAACCTGTCCATGACCGCAGCCATTCGTTAGATGTTAAGGGCGGGACCCAAGTTAACGTTAAGATTCAAGGACCCTACATCTGGTAATAATGAACACTAATAGGGTGTCTCTTTTCGAACTACCATCGATGGAAGCGTTCAATTTAAAAATGCCTGATTAAGTTAGGATAAAACAAGTGCGAACTTGTTAAGAATGTTCCACTGGACCAGTTTAAAACATCGAATCTCGCTATTAACAGAGAAAAATGTTGCATTAACAATAGATTCGAGAATTGGTTATTAAACATGAAGCAATTTTAGATGATAAGATAGGACATATAGGGTGCGAATACATTTCATAAAGGATACAACTGTACCAAGATTGTTTCCAGCCGTAGGGTACCATTTCTACTTTGCAATGCAATTGAAATGGAATTAGACCGACTTTTGACTATGAGAATTGTCAAAAATTGTTTCGATTACAAGTAACATACGTAGTCAATGTTAATTGTAAATGTGCGCAAGAGTAATGGCAATATTCGAATTTGCGCTGATTTCAAGGTTAGGCTTAATCCGTGTTTATTGTATGACCATTGTTATTCCTACCTTAGAAGATGGTAATAAATTTACTTTGATAGATCTGACGGATACGTATTTACAGATGGAAGTAGAATCGGTGTCTCAGGAGTTTCTAACGATAGCTACTCATATAGAGTATTTTCCTTGTCGACGAATGACTTTTGGATTGGCAAGTGGAGTTAGTATATTCCAGATATATATGGATAAGTTGTAAGATTGTCAAATGACCAGTGCATACTTAGATGATGTATTATTACTATCGAAACGATGAGGATCACATAAAAAAAATTTAAATTGTCAGACGGCTGGTCATAAGGTGTGGTTGACGAAAGTTCAATTGTCAAAAATCCGCAGAGGTGATTGATAAGTTTGATTCTTAATTAAGGTGAAGGCAATCCGGAATGCACCAAAACCCAAGAATATACAACCTTAAACTTTTTTGGGGCTTGTATATTATCATAGGCGTTTTTTTTTTTAAATCTAAATAGTAAAGCTGAGCCATTATATAAATTAACGAGGGTAAAATTACCTTGAAAGTGGACGAAAGAGAAACAAAAATCCTTTGAAGTGGTTAAAAAATTATTGTAATTCAAGGCAAAGTTAATTCCTTACAACGCAGTTGTGGATAATTTTGGAATTTCTAATTCAGAATTAGGAACTGTGTTATTACATCAATTAGTAGACGAAAAGAAAAACCTATCACACTCGCGTTACGGATTTTATCAGAATCGAAACCCTGCGCTCCGATTTATAAATAATTTCGAGCACTTTTATGAAATTGAAAAATTTCATTCATTTCTTTATGGAGAAAATTCTTACTTCGAACTCATCACAAACCATTAGAGCGATTATTTGGGGAGATACGAGATCTATCTAAAAATTTCTAATAATAGTTTGCCTTGTTGGGCCTGAAAGATGGCTTCTTATGACTTCACAATAGAATATAAGGGAAGTAAGAATATGATAGCAGATGCATTATCAAGGCTTTCGATAATGGACGTGGAAGAAAATCAGATTCTTAACCTGCCTTGGAGATTCGAGGGATAAATTTGGATGATAGGCATTTGTCGGGAAATAGTTTATGAAAAGAGTCAAACCAGGACTTAACATTAAAAATAGCACGCATATTCAGCAATTGTAAAAAATTGTTAGTTTTTATAATCGACAGAAAGAGTTATCTGTTGATCGTAATATCATAGAATGAAATGGGAGATTAGTAAGCAATAAATTAAGGAATGTAGTACTACAAATAATTCATCGGGGAAATCCTGGTGAAAATATAATGAAATGGCACAGGTGTGATATCGATATAGAAAATTATATCAAAATTATGGATGTCAGAAAAATAGACCCAGACCAAATGTAGAACATGAGATTGAAAGGGAAATGAGAGACTAAGTCAAAATCGTGATTTGCATTCGAAAGGGAAGGAATTCTAGATTTCACAACTTGTTAATTAAACTATAAGAATACCAAGGTTAGAGAAATGGTTGGATAAAAGAGAGGAGGATATTAATATTTCGTTGAAACTTTCGAGACAACTTGTGATAATATGCAGCTCAGCTAAGAGATCGTTCAATTATTCCGACCATAAAAGTTTAACAGCAGTTATAGAAATAGTTGCGCTAGTAAGTGAAGCAGATATTGATATTATATTACGTTGTTCATCAAGAAACTATAAATTAACAAAGAGGTTTATTGAGGAAATTTGACTTAAAAATGTTTGAAGAAAATGTAATAACTGTATTTATTATTAAAAAAAGAAACATTCTAAAATTGATTATTAATTATGTTATTGTAAAAATTTTTATTTTATTAGACTTTTGAATAAATCTTGGAATAAATTTATAATAAAATCTATACTGATTATTACTTTAGTCTATCACTGTTTTTTTTTATAGTTTTTAATTCATTAAATTTTTTATAGCCTTATTTTTTTGCGGAATCATGTAAGGTTTCTATTGGGTAAAACTGGTGATCAATGATTTTCTATAAAAATGATCTGGCCATGACTTACTTGATTTTTATTATTATCTATTTCAAATCTAAAAAGAATTGAATCAACAGGTTGTGTATTATTTATTGCTATTTATTACAGGTAATTATACGAATCCACATATTGGAGACCAGGGAATTCCTTTTCTTAACACAAAAAAATACAAATAAAAATATTTAAATATAATTACTGAGCTTGTAGGAACTCAATTATATTTTTCATATTTATGAACCTCCTCCCCCCTTCCCCCACCTTAAAAATAAGGTATATGCTAACCCTTTGAAAAACAAATGATTTTTACGTGATTAATAGCGCTTTTACCCTCCATCGTCGAAGGTTCAATAGACTGGAATAAATTAATTTCAACAGAAATTATAATGAGGACCCCTCTACACATTTATGGGCACGCTCTTACTTTACGCACAACAGTCTGGACTGTCATTTAAACGTCCAGTGGCTAAGATAAAAAGATTTGGGCCAAGTGCCTATACCCCAGAATTGAGCATATAATTAATTACTTTAAGGGAAAGGGGAAGGGCTGATTTTAATTTTAATGTCAATGTTAAATAAGAAATCTGCTGGTATTGTTGTCAGCATTATGATTAAATTTAAAGTCCTGTTGTCGTGTTGACCATCTAAAACATATATAATTAAATAAATATTTTTCATTGCATCTTTACTAATATATGAAATGATATACAAATAATTATTTAAAAAAAATAAAAAACTCATTCTATAAACACAGGTGGGACTATATGTTCCCAAAAAACATGAATAATTATATTTTAAAATGGTAATTTGTATATTTTGTTTAAAAAAAAATACTTTGGGTTCTGATGTAAGAGCTCTTATTCAGCCGTCTATATTTTTTAAAATTTTAAAGTTCCCCATGACATATTTTCAAGAAATGAGATAATGAATGGTAAAAAAAAGAAAATATGTTAATTTCGAATATGTTAATTGTTTTTTTTCTCGGCTATTTCAACCGGGTCAGAATTTAAATTTTTAAGTCCCAAATTAAGGATTTATCTAAAGACCAAGGCACAGAAGTTAAACCATCTGGTTTAGGCCATTATCTAATGATTAATTAGCAGTTAACTTGATGTTTGGCATTCGGTAATTGCTGCGTGTCTTGCATGCCTTGACTATATATACAATTAAGACCATGTCTCGTTCTGGAATCAACTAATATTTTATATTTTATGCATGAATGTGGTTGAACTATGTTACATTTAATTCCATGATTTATGGCAACTTATAATTGTTCATTTTATAAGAGGTTACCTAGGTTACGACTTGGTAATGCTTCCAGACAGCGTCTACATGAGCGGGATGGGTAGGAACAGTTTTCATCCTATTTTTTGAAAGGGGTAGGGGATAGGCTGCTTTAATGGGGGTAGGATAAATTTTTTGGCGGGTTACAAAATTTATTGCTGTAAAAATTAATACTTTTATTATAGAATTATTATAATACAATTCATCGACCAAATCTATATATTGCAAACAATCATACACATTGTTTTCCAAATAAAACTTTCTAGATATTTCAGCAAGCTCATAATGCCATAATAATTAATTCATTGTAAATAATGGAGGTTTTAATTGAAATTATTATCTAAAAAATAAATTCTGTATATTCACAAAATATCGATAGTTGGTAGTAGAGATAGATTAATTTAAGTTATCCTAAATAAATTCTCTGAAAAGAGTATCAATAAATTAAAAAGGTGAAAATAATAATAGACAGATGCCGGCCGCAGAAGGTGGCGAAATTTTTTAGGGGGATGCAAAGGTTTTTGAAGGGGGTTTGCATTTAGTGAAAATCCTGTCATGTAGACGCTGCTTCCAGCTACTCATAACTGCTAGTACAGTCAACATTTTGTAATAGTTGAAATTATTCTAAAGGGGGGTTTGATGAGAGTATTTAATTAATTAAAGGTTCAAAAAATGATTGATATGTTAAAACTATAGGAAAATCAGATTCAGGTAGATCTAAAGATATCCATGTCATCGAGACCTAATTTAAAAGGTTATCATTGCAGAGTGATGAAAGAAGATATCATGATGGCGTTGTTCAACGAACGCGATGCCAAAAATAAAGAAAAATATATAAGATTTAATGGATATAAATCTAAACCACCCAGTTCAGGGTAATTGTGAAAAATCCTAGTTAAAATCTTCCAATTTAATATTTTAAATATTTTCTATTATACTTCTAAAGAGTTCAGTTCATGACGACTAATAATATCATTATTTAAAAAAAGGAAGAATCTAAAAATATGTAAAATCCTTGGTAAAAATAAATATTCTTTCAAAAGATAAAAGCTTTGGTGAGTCCTTATAAGCCTTTAAAAAAATTTTCCATGAACACCTCAACCTCACATTTGGAAAAACTGCTTAATTGAATTCAAATCATATTTTAGATTTAGCTTTATTTAGAGTAAGACCTATGTTTTTAGAGAATTCAGCTCTATATAATCTATCGTTGCTAAAATATTTTTGGAAGGTCCACAGATGGTGCCATCATCCAGATATCATATCTTTATGTAAGTTAAAAAGGGTTTTTAAAGAATGAATTAGGTTATGCATTCCTAAGCTAAATATGAGAGGGCCCAAACTCCTTGTTGTATACCCTCATCAGACCCAGAATTTGAGAGAGGTTCTAGAGCTATAAGATTATAAATCTTCCAACTAGAAATTTTCCATAGAATTGTTCAAAACATTTTTTTGGATAGAGAATTAAAAGCATTTTTATAATTCAGCTTACGGACTATGCCGTCTGGAGGAGGATCTTCGATATATATAAGAGAGTGGGCAGCTATTTGGCATCCTGCTTTAGTACCAAAGCCTAGTTGATTTGTTTGGAACATTTTTGAAGCATCAGGTTTGATGCGCTCAACATTATTTTAACTTCTTAATCATGCTATTCCATTAAAATTCCCAATTCATTTTGTAACTTTTTAATTTTGCTTTTCTATTAAAATTCCTATTTTTAACCGGGAAAAACTTGATTTTTATTTATCTATTAAATTTCCCTTTTATTCAACATTTTGTTATTCAAAATTCATAAAAGTAGGTCATTGGGAAATTATTTATTTGCATATGTTATTTATTTCAACAATAATAATGATACATGGATCCATATAAATACGACGAAAACGATATCGATGAATCAAATAATTTATTAAATAAAAATGCGAAACCTGAAGTTAAACCTGCGTGTAATCAGATCCGTGTTGAATTGAAAGATTGCTTAATAAATACAGATTGTGTTAAAAAAGTAAAAAAAAACATTAAAGATAATATTTAATATTGTGTTCTGGTTTTAGTTTAATCTATCTCCTAAAGATTGCCTGACAAATAATCATCCTTCAGTTCCGCATTTGTGCTATAAATTAAGGACTGCATTTTTTGAGTGCAAAAGATCGATAGTATGATATGAATTAGATATAATTTTATTTTTACATTCATAGCTTGATAACAGAACAAGATTTAGAGGTAAAAAAGCCACATAATAAGATTAACTAAATAAAAATTATAAATAATTGTATAATGCTCAAAGATATTATAAATTTTTCTGCTGGACCTTCAAAAATCCCTAATGAAGTAAAATAATAAATATTAACAATATATACTTGTTATTAATCTAATTTCCATATTTTTTAAAAAACTTTACTCAGGTTAAGCAAACTATGTATAAGGAATTTCTGGATTATCAAAATACAGGTTCCAATATATTTGAGCTTAGTCATAGATCAGAATATTTTGTAAAAATTGTAAAAAGAGCCAAGGAATCCCTCAAAACTATATTTGATATTCCAAACAATTATGAAGTTTTATTTATGCAAGGAGGTGCAACTGGTTAGTTTTAATTTTTGATAATTATTTAATTTATCTTTTTCAACACTTATGCTCTTTTATTGCCCTGAAGGGAAAATGAATAGCCTTTAAAAAAACTTCCCAATTTACCTAAGCTTTAAAAATCATAAAATAGGGATACCCATAACCAATATTTTTATTTATAGGATGAGATATAAAAATTTAAGTTTTAAGTACCATTCTGAAAATATGTTCATCCTAATTTAATTTTTAAACAAACCATTTTAAATTTTGATATTTCCAATACATGCTCACAGTATACATTGCAATGATTTTACCTCTTTTACTCTTAAATTTTAATATTTATATAAAATTTATTAATAAAGTATATTTAATACCATACACACAAACTAAATAATTACCCTTCAACACATGGTTTTTTGATCAGTTCTGGCTATGTCTGCAAAAAAAAATTCAGACCAATTTATAACCCATATTTAAAATTCAAAAATCTTAAAGCACCTCTATTTTAAATTTTATTCAATATTATTTCCATCACATTTTTAAATTTTGATATTTCTAATACATGCTCACAGTATACATTGAACAATTTTACCTCTTTTACTCTTAAATTTTAATATATATAAAATTTATTAACCCTTCAATACTCCGGTGAAAAAAATCACGTTTATACTCGGGTGGGGTTTAATAGACCCCAATTTCAAATGCATATATCTCCAGTTATATTCATTATTAAGATTTAATATTTGGATATAAGATAGAACTAACCTTAAACCTGATAAAATAATTATTTATTTTTATTTCTTAAGTTTAGATAAAAGATGATGAGGAGTAATATAATTTGTCCCAAAATTTTCTAAAAAAGCCAACTTTTTTTAAATTTAAAATATTAAATTAAAAAATTAACTTATATATCATATAATCATGATAATTCATAACATGGATCTTTATTCTTCAATATAAAAAAAAATTACACTGATTCATTCAAACATAAAAAAAATACAGGACATTGAAATATGTTAATTTTGACATGTAAAACATTTATTACATAAAGCATTCATGTGTTCTAAACAAATTTATTTTACATATTTGACAAAAATATTTTGTTTTTTTATCCCTTTTTCTAGGACAAACACTACACCTTTCTATTGAAGGCTTAATATTTTTATTTGGTTCCTTGCCTAATATGTTATAAATAGAATCTTTCAGGGGTCGTGGCAATCTAATACATTCTTTTCTTAATTCTAAATGTGGAGTAATAATTTCCATAGCTAATTTTTTTATGAAATTAATTCTACTAATTGATATTTTTGTATTTGCTGTGTATATAATATGAGAATTAATTGTTGTTATATTTAGAAGTGTATAAAAAATTGTTAAAGGCCAACGATAAGATTTTCTTGATATTGAAAAATTTCCAATCATTTGGTCAACCATATCGACCCCCCCCCCCCTTTAGTCATATTATAAAATGATATGATTTCAGGTTTGAAAAGGTTATTATCATCAACATTTTTATTATGATGCAATGTTGAATGCATTATCACATTTTTCCTTTTTTGGGGGATATTTGATAATATGGGATGTCTTTGTGAAATCCAAATATACTATTATAAATTTCCCTTCCCTTTGTCATTATAAAATCATTAGGAATTTGTGGTTTATTTTGCCTTAATGTGCCCACTATTGTTAATATAACTTGTAAACAAATTATCCATGGTTACATTGCGACTTGAACCAGATATTGGAAGAATTAATCTATTTACCACATCTGCTGGTTTATTACTTATTTTATAAGGCCCCTCTGGTTGATTTCCAGTATATACTTTAAATTAAGTGTATAGTAAGTTTTGGCATCCACCAAGGAATATAATTTTATGCCGTATTTTGATGGCTTTTTGGGCATGTACTGCCTAAATGGGCATTTACCACGAAATGCTGGAAATCTTCAAAAATCATTTATTTTATAATAATTTGAAAAATGATTCAATCAAATGTTGAAAAAATAAAAAAATAACTCCACCAGTTTCCTTTTCATATATCTCATTCAAAATAAAAGATATTTAAATTTTGTTTAGATAAATTTTATAATTTAGTAGTATATATTTATAATTATAAAATTTTTAAAAAAAAATTTCTTAAAAAGTTACGAATTTACTCTGGTGGGGTCTCACACACCCCAATCAGTCACGCTTATATCTTAAAAACTACTCAACCGAAATGCATGAAATTTGGAATATTGATTCTAAGATATATTTGATGAAGCTACTGAAAAATCCAGATAATAATATTTAACTGTTTTTATGCAATATCATTTCTAGCATGCCTGGGGTTTCATATACCCCACCGAAGTATTGAAGGGTTAATAAAGTATATTTAATACCATACACACAAACTAAATAAATACCCTTCAACATCTATATAATTAATATTTTAAATTATATTATATTCAAGTTGGTGCATGTGTGAAACTTTAATATATATCAGAGACCTGCAGGCCCGGCCCGTTTTAAACATATCCGGGCCAAGCCTAAAAAAATTTTTTTTTAATTTATCCGGGCCAGGCCTTAATATTTTTTATAAAAATTTTTACATTATGAGTTAATGGTTATAAGATTATATTATATTATAGTTATGATTAATATAATATTGGGTGATGGTAAACACTACCTAACACCCACAGATCGATCTAATTATTAATTTCCTGCAAATTTATTCAAAGTATTAATATATTTTTTTATAATTCATATCTAAATTTTTACAACATATTTTACCAAAACAATCAAATAAAGGAATATCTTAAATAAGCCCCAATATTCAAGTATTATTAATATATTTTTTTATAATTCATATCTAAATTTTTAGAATATATTTTACCAAAACAATCAAATAAAGGAATATCACTTCTTGAAGTTTGTAATACCTTTCAAAGCGAAAAAGGAGAAATAAAATTGATTTTACTTAATATAAAGCATTTTTTAATTGAAAAATTTGTTTTACACCAGTATCATTTTATTTCTCTTTTTCTCTGTCCCAAATTCAAGCAATTACGTATGTTGTCAGGGACAGATCGCAAGATGACGGAAAACTATATAAAAGATTATATTAAATTACAAGAGGCTCAGGAAGTAAATGAAATACCATAGACCAGTCAAATTATGACTGTTGTTAAACAAACTGAATCTTTTATGGCAAATGGGGCGATAGTATTTCTGGTAATATGTCAATACCCTATGATGAATATTATAATTACATAAATAAAAAAATAGATGAAACATTTAAGGTGGATAATTTGTTAGAGTGGTGGGCGGCTCATCAAAGCGAATTTCCAATATTAGCAAAATTGGCAAAACGGGTATTGGCAATTCCTGCTTCAAGTGCAAGCTGTGAGCAGAATTTTTCCACTACTGGGAGAATTCTTGAAGAAAGAAGAAGTAATCTTCAACCTGAAAAGATAGATATGCTTCTCTTTCTTCATGATAATTTGTGAATTTTTAATATCTTTCTTGAGTATAGGGTTTCGTCAATCATGCTGGTTTTTTACTTTGCAAACTTTCAAATATTTATTGCATTTATTATATTTACCTTGAGTCATGAAAGTTTTTAATCCAACATTTTTCATTTTTTATCTTCTTTTGTTAAAAATTTATATTATAAAATAAATTATATTAATATTGTGCATTTAGATTATATTTTCAAAATACTATTTATTATACATGCATTTTTTTAAATAGCGATTTATTTTTATTTTATAAATTAAATAGTAAATTAAATACAATATATTATATTCTCAAAATATTTTCCATTTTTATAAATTAAATATTAGTTTTATTTTTTTTAAATGCAATATAAAATATAGTATATGCTCAAAATATTATTACCATTTTTATAAATATTAGTTTTATTTTTATAAATGCAATATAAAATATAGTATATGCTCAAAATATCCATTTTTATAAATAACAGTTTTATAAATTCAATATAATATTCTCAAAATATTAGCTTTTTACATGTATTTTTTAAATAATAAGCGATAATACTTGCTGAAAAATATGGTAAAATACCTCATAGGTGAATTTTTGTATATACCAGGTCGAATATAATTTTAAAAATTCTCAGCCTAAAATTTTTAAATCCGGGCTGGGCCGTAAAAATTTTTTTTTTAAAATATCCGGGCCGAGCCTAAAAAATTTAAAACCGGGCCGGGCCGTGCAAATGGTACCTCTGCAGGTCTCTGATATGTATATAATTAATATTTTAAATTTATTTATATTCAAGTTGGTGCATGCGGTAAAGCATATGCCTTTGAAATGGGAGGCTCGAGTTCGATTCTCGTAGAGAGCAAAAAATTAACATTACTTATATAGTCTCCTTAAATTTAAAATACATTAGGGAGATACGAAAACGATCGTTTTATGATTATGGAGATTATATATATTAGATATTCAATTTATAAAATAATTGATCATTATTTATGTTGTAATATGATATAAAATGTTTAAAATGATAATTTTACTTTTAATTTTGATTAATTTATTGTAATTGTATTTTGGATCATGTTGTCAGGACTAACAATAAAGGATCAGTAATTTTTGTATATGAATTTAATTATTATTATTTTACAACCTTCAACTTTACAAGTTTCAGGGCCTAACCCTTATACTTATTAAAATTAACCCTTACTTATTAAAATTTGTCACTGGGTCACCATATCAAATCAATCACTTTACAACCCGACCATCTCAGATTTTGTTAAAATTTGGTATTAAAGTTAATAAAGTATTGTAAGTGATGAATCCAAAATATTAGAGTCTTAACTCTATTAGAATTGGAGATATAGGGCTTCAAAGTGGGTCAACTTGGTCATTTTTCGAAAAAAATGATTTTTTAAAATTAAGATAACTTTTATATTAGATGCACTATGTATATTTATTATGGCTCATTTTATAGCCCTAAGTAAACTCTTGAACGTATGTTAAATAAAATTAATTTTTAGTTTAAATATTTTTTTTAAATTGCGG